TCTACCTCCCCTTGGACATCGTGCTCAGAGTTTACTTCCCTCTCTCTCTCTCTCTCTCTCTCTCTCTCTCACTGCCCCGCCATCCCTTCCTTCACCCAGACCACATTCCCGCTTCAGCAGTGCTGACCAGCGCCGTCTAAAGTGAGATCTTCCCTTCACCCCGCTCATAGGCACATGTTCTGTATCTACCGTCCCAAGGAGGACAGGGCCCTTAGACTAGGAGGAGTCCACAGGCATACCCGGGGAATGGAAGAGGAGGACGATGAAGCAGAGGGCTAAGAAGGGGGCGTGTATTGGCCGTCGATCTGGAACCCGGGGTGCCAAACGAAATTCGAATGCTCTCTCCTGCTTTGTCAGTCCCGTCTATCGCCGTCTCTCTCGGTGGGCTACGGTGTTGAGGGTGTGTCTGCCGAACGATATTGAACCTTCCCTCGCCTCCTCTCTTTTCAGACCTTGGAGCGGGTGTACCTGGCTTCAGGAACTTATATTGACGTACGTCCCATGCCAGTGTCATTCCTTTCAACTTCCCCAAGCCTTCTCTCCATCTTCCGACATCCTTACTTTTCTTTTGCTTGATCCAAACACTCAAGCATAGGAAAAGCACGAGTGGCTCGCCCGCCTTTTCCAACACAGTTCCTCGAAGCTGCGGAATTCAAACACACGCTCATTTCACTTTGCTGTTTGTTTCCCAATCGGAAAACACCATCTTTTACACTCACTTCGCCATCATTCCTCTCTCATTCCTTAAGCCCTTCTCCCGAGGACATTACCACGAGGAATCTTGACCCCGGAGCATATCACACGGAGAACAAGCGCCCTTTTTGCACTTCTTCACTTAGCAACAAAACCCATGCCCGCCCCGTCACGGAATTCCTGAAGAGTCATTCCTTTCACCTACGTCTTTTGCCTCCCAGCTGTCCTCCATTCTTTCACTCAGGGGTTCCGTGCTTGTCAAGGAATCCTTCTACAATCCAGTTGAAGTCTCTTCTCTCCTCGTGGGGAAGAGAGAAAGAACGGACCAAGGTCGACGCATCAACCAGTCCCATACCAGTCCTCCGAAGAGGACTATCTCCAGAAACACAAAGAAAAAGAAGATTGCTTCCAGAGCAGCAGACCAGATGATGGAGCACCCGCGCCCTGTGCTTCCCTCTCAACGCTACTCCTCTTCCCCAGTCTACAGCTACGATAGCAGGCGATGTACGCCAACTGGACGGCAGCCGTTGAGGGAGTCGACGGGCAATGTTCAGTCCGCCGGCTCTCACTTGGGAAGCCTCGCATCGTCATGTCGTAACAGCCCACTTGGGCTCTTCTCTCCGAGCCTGACGAGCATACCCACTCCCCCCATCGTCCCATCCCAGGCTGGCTCTACCTACAGGAGCAGCAACAGCCTGAGAAGGCCAGATGCTCTCCACATGGCAAGGAGGGCACGACACGACATCAACCCCATCTACTACGCCCCCGAGTTCCGGCCTTACCGGGACAAGCAGGACCAGAAGGATCCCAACGAGAAGCAGATTTGGCCTCGTGTGTTGGAAGATGCTTTCCTCGACTGTGAGTCTCGTCTACTTGGGCAATTGGAAACCCCTTCTAACACAGTATCTAGCACTGCTCATCATCCCGCATATGGGAAGAAAGAAGTACAGCATGCAGGGCAAGCAGTTTGGGCGTAACATGCTCATTAGCGAGTACCTGTGGATCGCTTACTGCTGCAGCTTGCAGCCAGGACAGAAGGCAGAGGAGAGAAAGAGAAAGCAAGTCTCCAGCCACATTCAAGTAGTCAAGAAGATGTTTGAGAAGCACCGATGCTGTAAGTCCGAAGACTCTCTTGGTAATGAGACGCGAACTGACACATCTCAGACCACTTCTTCTTCGTCAAGGACCCTGATAAAAGCGAGGCCCGTCTTAAGGACAACATGGAGATTGCCTCCTTCAAGGACAACCCAGTTCTGGTTGCCCTCGCCGAGGGTCGTCTTCCGGACGTGCGTCCCAACTACGAGTACTTTGCCCAAATCCTTGCCATGGACTCCCTTGTTGTCATGAGGCCCAAGACTGCCTGGATATTCGTCGCTTCCTCCAACGTCAGGATGGAAGACAACGGAGACGCCTATGATCAACACGGCAAGCCTCTGGACCCTGACTACTACCCCCATTTGGAGAAGAACATGCACAAGGAAGACGGTCTCTCCAGAGGCCTCAACGGCAGTGTTCTCCTGCACGAGTACAACCGTGAATTGGCGCAAAAGGAATCCGCTGCCGTCACGGAGATGTCTCAAGAATGGGAAGCCAAGTTCCCTCCTCTGCACAAGTCACTTGAGCACGCCATCCAGGACAACAAGTGGCTCGACATCTTGGAGATGACAGTCACACTTGAGATCCACCCCCGCAGCAACTTCCCCGCCGGATCAGAGCTCAACGGCTTCGTTGAGCTGAGCATCTCCCAGCCTGCACTCCAGAACCACCGCTGGAAGTGTGTCACCAAGCTGGCGCGGCCCGAAGAGCTCCGCCGAGCCGAGAACGAGCCCTGCATCATTGAGCAGACGAGCGAGGTCGGTGTGCAGTACACTCACCGCCCCGGCTGCCAGGAGAGCAAGTTCGAGTGCGACTGCCGTAGCCGCCCCAGACAGGACGTCCGCGTGCCCTTCCCTGCGGCCGAGTGGGCTAGCATACTAAGCACGTGCGCCGGCTACCTCGAGCCCGTCGACAGCAACAAGTCCAAGATCGAGGACGATGAGGAGAGAGCCAAGGCCGCGGAAGACGCCGCCCTCGAAGCCGAGCGGACCACGGCGGAGCTGATCCAGCAGGTCGGCATGTTCCAGGAGCTGTGGTCTGCCCCGCCCGACAACTCTGACCGCCGAAACTGGGTGCGCCGTGGCATCATTCTTTGGAAGTTCCGCACGATCCACGCCTTTGACGACAAGTGGAACCCCATCTTTGAGAAGCCGGCGCCGCAGAAGGGCAGGAAGCCCGCCGAAGAAGAGGGAGAGGATGAGAGCATTTCATCCCGACGGGGCAGCCGCTCAAAGCGCGTCTTCAACCCTCCCGGCACGACCTGGCGATTCCTCACGGCCCTGGACCCCGTTTCCTCGGCCCATCAGCAGAACGTATGCGTCAACCCGGCATCTGGCCCGAGTCGTGACATGCTCATGGCCCCCACACCTCCCTACTCTCACCACCTCGCCGCCGTCATGAACGACAACATGAGCAACGCATGGGAGTCGGTCACCATGCCTGGCCAGCTGCCGAGCCTGGCATCCACTGGAACGCTTGGCCTCATGGACAGCTACTCACACGGACTCGCAACACCTCCACCAACTGCCTCCATCCACTCATCATACGCAAGCAGTTACGATGGCAGCCATGAACTGGCCGGCGGTCCGCACCATCACCAGCTTGACCTCTTCACCGCCGCGGCCTGCACTAGCTCCATGGACAACCAGACCATCGTTGCGGATATGGGATCAGCTGCTCCCGACCCGTACCTCTCAGCGACCGCGGGCATCCAAGTTTCAAGCGGTGTACCTGTCGGCGTGTACGACGAGGGTGAGGTCGACAGTATCCCCGACTGGGATACGGCGACCTCGTCCTTCCACAATCTCCATCAATGGAACGGCTGGAGCGAGACGGCGTCAGACCCAAAGACGCAGCAGTGGCAGAATGAGAATCACCGCAGCGCAGCCGCCAACTCCAATCTCTGGGCCGAGAGCAAGGATCACCACACATGGAACCAGCAGCCGTGGGCCCAGGCCGTCTCGGCAGTAGCTGCCGTGGCCGGCACAGACGGCAGATCCGGATGGTCACCAATCGACCAGCAGCGCAGCGGACTGCCCTCGCTGGATCAACTCACCCCGCTCAAGTCGTTGACCGGCAGCAGGAAGAGGGCACGCTCTAACAGCCTCGACATGGAGAACAGGGAGAACTACCCTGCATCAATCCAGAAGCTGGTGCACCATCGAGCGCCGGCAGCTGTGATGGATGAGGCTGGTGGTCACGGACACCGCAACTGGGAGTGAAACTTCTCACTCGGCCGGGGCTGTACAGACGGGAAAAAAGGGAATGCAGCATGCTCAGGGAGATGTGCGCCCTGCTTGTGTATGCGTTGTTAAAACTGGAGAGAAACAAACCCGCATGCAGCGGCATCTGAGCAAGGTGAAAAAGGATATTGGACTTGATTTTGTTCGGAGTTTCTCATCAACTTGGGAGGGATAGATGACTGACGGCCGATTCATGTGTGAAACGCTTAGAAAGGCCCCTCCCTGAATGGAATAGGGGCGAGAAAAAAACATGTCGTGATGTGCTAGAAAGAAATAGCAACTTTTGATACCAATAATCATGTTTTGTTATTACCGCAGTTTAGTATGGGGAAGTAATCAGTTGTAACCTCCGCTGGGAAGAATGGAAAACAAAAATTGCTTCGGTTCCCACATCACGGTTACATTGGTCCGACAAGAGACGTATTGTTTCTCCTGTCATCCTTCATGCCCGCCAAACGTTGGTGATGGGACGAGCGAGTGGTTCAGAGAGCTTCGCTGGAGTGATGAGATGAAACGCTCAAAAAAGTGGCCTGCCTGCCTGTCTGTTGTTCGCAATCGGGAGGGGGGAGGGGAGAAGTCACCTGTGGTGGGCATCTTCTTCTTCTTTCTTTTTTTTCATCAGCGTTTGAGGTGATGGAAGCTTAATAGATCAGATGATCCTCTGTTGCCAAGACTGATGTTTTGTGAGACGCTGGCAAATGTGGTTCCTCCGTTTCTTCGCTTTGCCTTTTGTCGCAACTCGACGGAGCTCTTGGTGTGGATTCGTAGTCGAAGTCGTCGTCAACATCGTCCCTGTCCTCGTCACTCGTGCCGCCCGGACGTTGCGGTAATAACAATAACTCCCCCTTCCCCAGTCTCGCCAGGAGGATTCAGTGGCGCGAGTGGGACGTGAGAGTTGCATGTTTCATTCCAAACAAGAGAACGAGATTGCGGAGCAGGAGAAGCGAGTGGAGGTGTGCACGTGGAGACCTATCTATCGCATCGTGCAAAAAGATGTGAGCGCTCAAAACCAGGAGATGGAGAGGCCCAGAGGGTGAGGACGATCAGTGGGAAGAAAAGAGCGGAGGATGTTCGCAGGGGTTCTTCTTTTCTTAGGTTGGGACGGATGAGGGTTTGCGGGTGCGTGGTCTGAACAACGTGGACGGTACCGCAGGTGAAACGCTGCATGTCTGAACGTTGGTGACCGAGGTGTGTGATATCGCGAACGGTGGCAAAAGATGGGAAATAGGGGGTTGGTAAGTCGAAGGAGCTCTCAAGATAATCGACTGCTCGAGTAAAAATCTTTGAGGAAGACTCGAAGTCGTAAGATTCATCGATCGCGTGACAAAGAATCTCGGCGGTTGAGCAAGCGCTGTCAAGTTGAGCCTCAGTATACTCAGCCACGATTGGATTGAAGCCGTTCGCCGAGATCTCGCGCCCGCCGCCCGGGGCGGGCTGCTAGCGGTGGAGCAGAAAAAGAAAGGACCGGGATGCGCACAGACGATGAGACAAGACAATTTGTGAATTCCCACCAGCGAGGAGGATCCAATTGTAAATATGCCGGGGTGTGGCTTGCATATTGACGGCTCTGGGGCATTGAGCTCGGAGGCGTAGGTGACAATCTCTCGACAAGTGAGATGGGGGTGGTCTAAGCGGATGAGAGAGCAGAACTGGGAGTATCCTGAACAACACTAACTTTCCATCCTCAATGTATCGTCAACTCGTGCTTGCAGTGTTGTTTTGGATTCCTGTGACGGTTTATATGAACACTGATTGTCAGGGCAAAGAGACGTGGCAAGCAGAGCGATGAACAGCGAAAACAGAGCAAAAGGGTGGAAACGTAAGCCTGGTCTGGTGTTCGCTGTTCATCGCGTGCTGTGTACTGTGTGTGCTGTGTAGGGGCCGCTGGCCCGTGTTTCGAGTCGAGTTGCATTTTGCTCTTCTAGACGCCGTCCAGACGTCCAAGCTTGTGCTTCCCTGACGGCCTGACGTCCGTAGACGGCGGTCCATTGCGCTTGCCTGGACTTCGGTCCGTCTGGAATGAAAGGTGGTGCCGGGGTCGTTGTGTCCAATGCCCATAACTGTTGGCTGTTGCTATCGCTCATTAAGATCCCTGATGTGGGATTTTGGAGTAGGTCGGTGCTCTAAGGTGGGTTGGAATCTTGTATATTCGCGACTCCGTCCGCGGCAAAAGAGACCAGGATGCTTGGCGCAAGGAGTAGGTACATTTTGCGAAGCATTTGCATTTCTGATTTGGCATCAAGTAGGCTGCTATGGAACACTGGTCAGTTTACTGTAGTTCCGTGGGCGGTAGTGGGAACTTGGCTTTTTTTTTTTGGTTCACTTCCTTGCCTGTTCCATTCCTGAATCCATCTTCGTCGACCGTCTGGCGGTAGTCTGCGCCAACGGTAGCCAATCGAGTAGATTACCAGGCCCTTATGTCCGGCAGCGGCGCGGCAAGGCCAAATAGGAAAGGAGAAAAGAGGCTGAGTCAATCTTATGGCGGCCGGCCATGTATTCGTGAACGACGCGCGAAATAAGCAAGGAAAAGAGGGAAAATGGTCCACGGGAATGGCGTCGGCGCGTTGAAGGTGGAACAAGCATGGAGAAGCAAGTCGTGGACAGGTGCCAATTTTGGTAGGCGCCGCAGGTTGCAGAGGTGCCGATTGCCAGTCAAAGTGGTGGTGGACCCTTGCCTCTGGAGTTCGCTTAATTCGGGCAGGGGCCGCATGGGCCTGGTTGACTGGATGAGGTGCATCGCGACTCGCAGGACCTTCTGGACTCTGCAAGAGGAGTGCGAGCCCCTTGTTCCAGATTTTGCTGTGAAGCATGGGGGCCAAAGTCTCTCGGCCATACGTTTTGGCCTGCAGAGATACATGTTTCGTCGTTCGCTGCCCATCCCTGACTACAGGGGCTGTGGCGCCTAACCCAAGATCGGTGCAACCCCACGAGGGTCGGTACCTTACAGCGGGAGAGCGGCGCCGATTGGTACTTGTTGCTCCATAGTCCCGGAGGTATCTGATGCCCCACTCTCGCGCAGCGTAGCGCAGACCATCTCCCGTCAAGTGCCCACCGCCCGACCCGACGTCTCCCCGACCTTGATGCGGATGCCATACACACTACCTACCTACCTTACCTACCTTGACTACCTACCGTGACTACCTTGCCTTCAACCTTGAGACTTGCGCGCCAAGATGTCCACCTCAACCTCTGCCGTTCCTTGTCAAACATCAACCTTGGCTACTTTGGCGCATCGTGCTTGACTGGCGCCCAGTACCTCGCATCAGAAACATGCGCTCTTCTTCGTCCCATACCAGGCCCCGTCCGACCCTATGGCCGGCCCCGGCACACGACCGACATTGCTCGCTCTTTGGCCAGATGCCCAGAATCCCCCTGTCCGAGTGCCCATCCCGTCCTCCACCATTATCGTTTTAGATCGCGACTCCCACGATGCGCCGCATGGGTGTTTGCCTGTCATTCGGGTACCCATCCTGCGTCGATCACGACCCTCGTCCACGGGTTGAGCAGCTAGAAGGGAAAAGCATGAGTCTAGATGCGTGTAGGGATATCCAGGCTACCTATGGAAGGCGGCAGACATGGCCCATGGGTGGCAGACAAACGTGATATTAAACCAGCCCGGCCTCGCATCCCGAAATGGTCTCATGGTCTTCACCTCACCTCCTCATCCACCAAACGCCCTTCCTCCACGGGATTCGCAAAAGAAAGTGGAAACAATCGCATTGTTTCCTTTCTTTCCTTGAGGCCCATTCTTCAGACCACCCTAATTTCCGTGGATTTCATTATACGCGCTTGAGGCAGGCAGGAACCTTCCCTTTATTCGTTTTATTGTTCCTTCCTCCTGGACCAAGTCGACTGTTCGCACCTTCCTCGCCTTTCAACGACATCGCAGCTCACAACGCCGCCCCACTTTAGCCAAGATATCAATCTTTGACCTCGACCATCGCCATATGTAACAGCACGACAAGGCCTTATTATTCTTATTTTTCGTTCGCCTTCTCTTCTTGACTCAGCTGGTATCTGACTGCGCCGGACGTCTTTAATTGTGAATAAAAATTACGTGTGTAAACAAACAACCCTCTTGGTCTCGTTCAGTCCTATCACACCACTCAACGACCTGATTCATCGAGAATCCAAGAACCCACGTACATAAAAACACCCTCGAGGCTGCCCAACCATCGATCTTAGAAATTTCACATCAACCACTACACTTCAACTTCGACTCTTCTGGAAGACTCGAAAACTCTGCGCTCCTTCCTGCCACAAGATATCTCAGTCCGCCCCACCTGGTTTGTTTTCCTCCCGTCCTTCCTCCAGCTCATAGACGCAAACCCTAACTCATCTTTTTCACCTAGACACACTCAATCCTTTTTTGATTTCTTCAAATCCTTTACCACCCTTCACCTTCCTCACTTTCCCTTTGGAATCGTTCACGAATCCACCAACCCCGTCAATACTTTTGCGCTCTGCGAGTATCAAAAGCTTCATCACTTGAGTATCCCATTCACAAGAATATTCATCACCTTCTCTTTTCACACATCCCCCAAGCGTTCACCATGGTTCGCATCAACTCCTTCGCCGTGGCTGTCGCCGCCATCATCGGTGTTCCCATGGTCGAGTCTCACACCTGGGTTGAGCAGCTCAACCGCGTCGCTGCCAACGGCACTCTCGTTGGTCCTGATGGCTTTTCCAATGGCTGGGCTGGTCGTCTCAGCGGCTTCAATGACGAGCGATACACTATGCGCATTCCCGGAAAGGGCTTCGACCTTTGCCAGCAGTCAATGCCCGGTGACCAGCCACCGGACTTTCCGGTCTTGACTGCTGCTCCTGGCGACTTCGTCTCTCTTCGCTACCAGGAGAACGGCCATGTCACTCAACCGAACACGCCTCCACAAAAGCCCCTCAACCGTGGTACTGTCTTCATTTACGGCACCGCCCAGCCTAAGTCGAACCCCAGCGTCTTCGACATTCACCGCCAGTGGACTGCTGACGGCAAGGGTGGCGATGGCACTGGTCGCCTCCTGGCCACCCGCAACTACGACGATGGCCAGTGTCACCAGGTCAACAATTCGCCCATTTCCCAGAAGCGTCAGAAAGACACTGAGCATGCAGCTCTCCAGCCCATGGGCGTCAATATTTGGTGCCAGACAGCCTTCCAGATCCCCGAGGATCTGGCCCAGAACTCCGAGTACTCCGTCTACTGGGTCTGGACCTGGCCTACTCTCAAGGCGGATGCCGTCGACAAGTCCACGAATGGCCAGTTTGCCGACTTCCCTGTTGGCTTCACGGAGGACAAGCGCGCTGCCACCTCTGAGGATATCGAGCTGCCTGAGCTCTACTCTAGCTGCTCCACTATCAAGGTTCAGGGTGAGAAGCTTGTGGCTGGTATCAAGTCTGCTTCCAGCTCCAACGATCTATCTGCGTTCACGTTCCCCGACAAGACGGACTTCAATGTCAATGCCATCAAGGACCAGCTCGCCAATGCCTTCTTGGTCAGCGTCGACGGCCAGGCTGCCCCTGTCAACTCGGCTCCCAACGGTACTAAGAGCAGCACTCCGGTCGCTACTCGCACTCCGACTCCCACCGTTCCTTCTGGAGTCGCCCAGGGCACCAACCAGGCTCGAGTTCTCACTGTTTCTGCTCCTGCTATGACTCTGTACTCGTTCCTCACCGTCACCCTCGATGCCCAGACTCCTGCTCCAACTCCCACTAGCGGTCAACAGTCTGCTGAGGCTAGCGTCACCCCTTTCCTCCACGGCCGTCATGTCAGAGGTAGAGACTCTTGGAACTTCGGCCAGGGCAACTAAGGTATTGGAGATCCACGTCACACAATCACTTTGAGGAACACACATCGTCTGCTCAACTGTGCACAACATGCTTCGGCTTTTTCTGGCTCGACAATTTCTTTCTTTCTTTACTTTCATTGCTATTCTTCAACAATACCCAGCACTCCCATACCACTCTCTTGGAGTTTGGACTCTCTTTTCGGTATCGCCAAAGTCATACAGTACATACATTCGGTTATAGGCATTACGTTCTCTTCAACTTTCCGGCATCAACGGCAACGGGAATTGGACAAAGGGTCATGAACAGGAGTATCACGGTCGATAGCATCGCCCCAGGTGGACAGGACGGGGCAGGTTTTCTTTTCCTTTTTTTTGTTTCTTGACGACCCAGGCATATAACCGGAATGGCATTTCTGGTCGGCGTTGGAGGATAAAGGATGATACCAACTTCTTTCTTCTTTCGGTTGCCTCAATGTTCTGAGGCCATTTCTTTGTCACATGGGAGGGTTTGTCTCCCAAGAGTTTTCAAGTCTCCACCCATGGGTATATGGGAGGAAGGGCTTCCAAAATAGTTCGCACTTTTCTCAAGGCCTCGCTCACACCTTTTCTACTCGTTTCGACATTCGGATTCTACGTCTCCCTCTCCGGTTGGGTGGCTCGATGCTGCACTTAAGAGACATGGTATGGATTAGAAGAACGGAGTGATGGAATAGGTGATGGGAAAGAGGCAAACACACAAAAACAAGTAGTCATGGGACGCAGAGGCTATAGGGCTCGCCTGGAGGGTGGTAGTACTATGGAAGCCAGTTCACACACTTCTTCTTTGCACTTCATTGTGACTCGCATGTGACATGTCTTGACTTTTCCAGCACAGCCATCATGTGGCCTTGTATGACTGACCCCTTTGACCAACCCTGATACTGTTCAGTCCACTCACCCACTCCATGTGGATCAATCACTTTCATCGGCCGGGTCCTGTTCAAAAACAGATATCTTAGCAGCTTTGCCAGTTCGGTGGATGCATGATAAATGGAGGTTTCTTTCAAATAGGAAGACACTATCACTGAGTATGTCTATGGTCGATCTGGGTATCCTTTGCCATGGGTGACATTCTTGCTTGGAATAGGTAGCAAAAAGTCATGACATCCATATCCCAAGATTTCATATGGTCAAGCACCTGCAGACCGATAGCATCATAGGTTTTCCAGCAGAGTCAACTATCAACAGGCCATCGAGATCCGCTCGGCCAACGAGCGTCCGGGAGTGGCCCACGAGGCTGTAGTACAGGCAAGGCTGTCCAAAAAAAAAACCCCATACGGTTACCCGGGCAGCCGCCACCCACCCATCGCACCTTCCTTTCCATGTCGACCCAAAACAACAAAACCTTCTCATCCGATACCTTGACGGGACCGCTCACCGCTTACCACCCATCAAGGGTCTATAGGTCACCTCAATTCCATTCTCGTCACCAGCACAGCAGGCGTCCTCTAGGTCGGGGGTCAGGTCAAAACTGTGGCGTGGATGGTGGAACGGTTAATGGTCCAACAATCAATTTCGCCAACCAGCCTACTCGACGACAGGCTTAGCGCATACCCTCGATTTCGAATCCCAGCGTGAGCACCAAGAGAAGTAGTCCCCAGTTCAGCACCGGGGGGGTGAACTCTTTTGGCTTTTTGGATCGCTTGATTCTTTGGTTTTGATAGGGGATATCATATACTCTGGTGGCCATTTGTGGTCTGGATGATTTTAGAAAATATAATCGGGTGGTAGGCATCCCACCCATCCTTGTCTGAAATAGGAGGCCTCATTCGGCGACTGTATCCCGAGGTCCTCGGATCTGGACGTACGTGGGAAGAAGTCAGTCTCGCCTGCCTGCCTTGCAAAATGATCACCAAAGTTATGTGATAATGATACGGTTGGTATTACCTGCATGTAAACACCAAAGTCAGGGTCTGGTATTTAAAGTACCGGGCATGCATGATAACATGTCCCTCAGCCATCAATCCGCCCCCTCCACCCCCCTATTCTTACCCGGCGCGTTTGTTGGGTACTCAAGGCGATGACAGGGCTAGCCATCACATCTAGATACCCAGAGAGGCGTCAAATACGTATAACTTCCATCAGCAGCCAGCAAGATGCTGAGCAAGAGGCTCGTCTTCAGTGGTCTCTGATCGGCGGTGTCACCGATAGTATGAAGTCATGGGCATTTGTGGTCTTCTCACTCCTCGTCTTCTCCGTTGAGGAAAAAGGAGATGAATGATAACCTAGTGTGGCCCATAAACGAGTTGATGGCAAGGGATACGCTTTCAAGTATCCACGACATGAGACGTCTCTCATTGACTACAGGGGTTTACGTCCTTGAACCAGACCAAGTCAACGTGCTACATGAATATGAAAACACAAGAAGCGGTATAAGTTACCATTACCTTCTCTTCCGCCTTCAATACTGGAGCTCCTCTCACTTCAGAATCCATGTCTCGTAGGCTAGAATGTAGGTTCTGATGCTCTAGCCTCACAAGGCGGCAGTAAGACCATCCAAACAACACGTTCTCGTTCACCCCGCCCCGTGACTCAACACCTCATGACCCAAGCAACACAGGCCGACCTCACATCTCACCGCACTGCGCGATAACAACGTCCTGGTTCGGCTGGTCCTTGCCGCGGTACCCCGTCTTAGTAGCCTCCATCATCTTGACAACCTCCATGCCGTCGACGACCTTGCCAAAGACGACGTGCTTGTTGTCCAGGAAGGGCGTCGGAACGGTGGTGATGAAGAACTGGGAGCCGTTTGTATCGGGGCCGGCATTCTGTCAGATTGGCATGTTAGTCTGGCATCATTATCGACCACGCCGTCACGTTGTAGCGTGGTCAGAGGGAACATGGAAATATATGCCAAGATGAGAAGAAGGAGGATTCTTTGACGTACAGCCATGGAGAGCAGACCAGGCTGCTCGTGCTTCAAGTTGAAGTTCTCATCGGCGAATTTGGAGGTGCCGTAGATGCATACCGAGCCGGTACCGTCGCCGTTCAGGAAGTCGCCGCCCTGGCACATGAAGCCTTGAATCTGTAAGACATTATTCGTCAGCTGTGTGTCACCGTTATACGCATCTTCACCCCAGCTTCTCCTTCAACTCTCAGTCCCGGGTGGGGTAAGATTTCCGGATGTCTAAAGACAGAGATGACTCACAATCCGGTGGAATTTGGAGGCCTTATAGCCCTGCGGACGACCCCGGGCATCCTTGGACTCGCCGGTGCAGAACTGGCGAAAGTTCTCGGCCGTCTTGGGGACGACATCCTTAAAGAGCTCGAATGTGATGCGGCCGAGAGGCTCACCTGCAGGAATACCGAAGAAGCGTTAGAAAGGGTGCAGCGAACGATGGACAGCAAAGGCGTATTCTCCAGACTTTGGGGCTTTGGAAACGGAGCCGGGCAGAATCGCAGACCGAGAGATCAGGGTCACACCGAAGAGCCGAAGCACGCCAGCATTTCGCAGCCCCGGAGCCGGGATGACTGAGCCGTCATGTTCAACCGCCGAAGGTCGTCTCCATATGGCCTAGGGGATGTTTCCAAGACCCTGTATTCATCTGGTCGACGATAACCTTGCTCGTTCGAGGACGAGAGTGCCCAGCCTGTAAGGCGAAACCTTGCGGGGACCCGCCTCTCTCGGCACATGCACACGTGCACTAGACCTGCGAATAGCTTCGTGCCCCCCAAGACTTCAAGGGGGGCAGGACGATGTGTACCAGTCCAGAAGTTCCATTCCCCGAAGCACCCGGCCAAGGCATGAGGAAAAGTTGAGCCCCCGATGGCGAATAATTTGATACATACCACCAAGCGTGATGTCGAAAAAGACCCTATTGACGCAGACTTCTGTGTTAGCTCACCTTCCTGTAAATCTCAAAATCAGACAGGGGTAAAGACTAGATCGCTCTCGGGAGTACCTAGTGGACTGCCACCGACCCCCGTTTCCCCCGTCCGCATGGCAGTATCTAGGTATTGCTGCTTTCCCACCACTCTCATGGGAGCTCCAAGAGGCTGTTGAGGAGGGTGTGGACGCCGAGTACTCAGCCACCGCCACCAGCTTCGAGATGACTGCAGCCCCTCCTCCTCTTGAATTCTAGGCTGGGTGTTGGTGGGAAGCGGTGAAAAGACACGGTGAGGCGTGAGTGGGATGAGAGCGAGAGACGGATTTGGATATCCACCGAGAATGCCTCGCGCGCGGGTAGGGACTCTTGGGGATCAACAAAGAGAAATAGACTTGGACTTACAGCGGGTTGCCGGATTCCGGGAGCTTCGTGGGAGGCATGGCTGGGGCGGCTTTGGGGGGTGGTAATCTAGCCGTAGGTCGGAACGGGGATCAGGAAACAAACGAAGAAAAAGGAAGACTCGACCCCAGCTGCAGTGTTTGTTTCTTCCGTGAGCGCCGGCGGAGTGGAGGGCTGCGTTGAAAGGCGGGGGGGGTTGTTGAGAGACAGGCGGTGGACGAGTTCGTTCGATATCCCAGAATTATGGATTACGGGAAACTTCTCGATTTGCATGCCCCGATGATGTGGTGTGGCTGTCCATCCACGCCGAGGATTCGCAGGCCCGCACCTGTCCTGCACCTTGGTGGGGCCGCCCACCCCGTCCAAAGTGCGGAGGACAAAAACGCACGCACGCACCTGCGCCGAATTGTCGGAATCCGGGCACAACATGACTTCTTTTTTGGAGGAGAACTCCGCCAACGAGCGAGCGACCTTGGCACCTCAGACTTCCGTGCCCAGCTCACCCGGGCGACTGGATGGATTGTCAGCGACATGCAGGGCCAGCCCGCTGGTGCGGACGCTTGGTGCGGAGAGACCTGCCCAAACGGGCCAAAACGAGGCTTTCCTTGGTCCCCCCCGGGGCATCAGGTTGCAGGCAAAATGCCTCAAGTGCAGCAACCTACAAGCCACACTGAATCCGAACTCCCCGCCAATTGCCTTTCTTTTACGCGTATCGTTCGTTCATCGCGTTGTTTGTAGATGTGTGTGACGGCCCACATTGCTTCGGGTCCATATTGCTGGACCCTTCAACGATAGTAACTGTGCCTCAATCGACATGCGGGACGAGCTGAGCGTCATGTACCTATGTAAGGCACTCTACAACTGTACTCGCTTGTTGCTTTAATCCAACAGAGACAAACCGTTGAACTGCTTCCAAAAGTACCATCTTCCATTTGCAGCCTGTGTTGATTCTAATACGAGTCCACCGTATAGACTAGGTATATACATAATAATATACATATCGGACCCTTCGGCTTCTCGCAAACCACACAGGTACTCCTTAACACGAGGACCCTTCGTGCGTCACGGATCAGCCCAGATCAGCGGGCCAGGGCGTTCCCGCTAGATTGGTTATTGTAGAAGCACAGGGGTTACTGATTATGGATGGGCTTGTTCAGTGCGTCAAAGTTCAGCTGGATGATTCCCTTGTCGTAGCGCTGTGAGATGCTCTATTGGGCCCTCTGGTCGATGGTAACAACGCCGAGCAGCCTCTTCCAAGGCAAGGCGCTGCTGTCCCGCGATATTCTGGGAAAGGATAGCGAGGTTGCAGTACGGCCAACCGTACTTGAAGACATGGACTGGAGTGTGAGTAAGGTCATCAACTCTACTTGGATGCTGGCGAACTTTCGTCACAGCAAGTAGTAAGGGTTAAGATACAGTTGGGAGACCTCTTTTTTCACATCCATCAGAAGAGCATCATACAGAGAGCGGACGAGTCTCTCGCGCCGCGAGGGATTCCACCGGCCATGTTTCGGGGAGCCATTGTGAGAATTGCCAAGGGCCAGAGTCGAACCCCAGAAGACTTGGGGAACACGAGAAGGAATGGTCAAACTATCAGTGATGTCCTGAATATGACCCTTATATAGTACGATGTAAGAGGAACAGATAACCCTCAAAGGATCGTTAACCTCTTGATGCCAACACCATCACGTCGAAAGCTCAATGCCTGGTGGAGATTCTATCCCGCATACTCTCAGCTGTAACACAGAGAAGTTTGGCTCCCCTCCTAATCGATGAAGTGAACACAGAAAATCTAGCGAACCGGCGACCTACTTGGCCATACACTGAAATGATAAACGGCTACTCTCTATCACTGTCTTGAACGGTAACAACTCGCAGCTCGATGTCCACGTTGAAACCATTTTCATAGAAGCATAGTAAATGACACAGAACCATCATACCAGCTGATACGCTCATTAACCAGGCACCAAGCCCCCTATAGTCCAAGGCATACTTAACCAAAACTCTCAGGAGAGAAGTGAACAACCGACGTCAAGCCTACATCCCGTCCACCCTGTAAGCGGCCCATGCCGGTCTAAGCTCGTCGTGGCCTCATCGCCAGTACTCTTCACAGCCGTCAATTATCGCGCTCCGTCAGGAACGTCGGCTCTATTCAGCCAAAAAGATGGAACAGAGGAGTCCGGTCAAGTCCTCCTGCGTCAAATTCGTCATCCGACTCACTGGGAGCCTTGCATCTGAGAAATGCCGGGACGGCAGGCAGCACAATCCCATAGCGGTGGTCATCCCACTAGAAGAAGCCGCAGAACGAGGCAAACTGGCCAATTGCCTCTCTTCCCATCGTCGGTATCCAGGAGAAGCATAAAAGAGGCTCTTGGGAAGAAGATGCTAACCTCCCGGTGCCTTCTCACCCGAAACATACCCCCGAGACCGGTAAAATCCTCGCATGGACCGTCCCCCGATCGGCCGTCGTCCGTGCCGAGGCCGGGGTTCGCCGAGAAAATAGTACCCTCGGGGGAGCTGTCCGCTGTCAAGTGTGTCAAGCCACTCCGTACCCAGCAAAAGGGAAACCAGAAAAAATCAGGAAGAAAAAAAGACCCGCGCAGCCACGGATTAATGGACGACAGGGACCCCCGGGAGGGAACTTGACTCAGGTCCGCCTTCGGTAATCCGTAATTACCTGGCAAGGGCACGCGAGACAAGAAGGCAAAAAAGAGTTCGCCGTGCGAATACCTCGTGACTTCGTGCGCTGCGTTTCCATTCGGAAAGTAGAGGGAAAGAGGAAAAAAAAAAAACAATATATTAAGCTTCTTCGACTAAAGGAAATATAGGGAGAAAAAGCTTCATGTTGTCGCACTTGAAACAATAGATCAGCCACAATGCGCTACTTGGGCGTAGCATTCATGTTGACAGTTGCTCTAGTAATTACGGAGTAGATCTTCAACGGTCAAGGGGAATATGGAAGTTCGCGAACCAATTGTTCATTGATTTTCAGGAACCAATGTTCTCGACCGCTTGGACACTGCCCCAGTGTCGAGTCTAATGAATTTCAAACTCGTGGATGGTTGCCACGGCCCCATGCAAGCCGTGTAGCGTGGTTTTCTCTGCGGTCTGCGGCCCTTACCTTACATCTTACATAACCCTCCGCGCCCAGAGATCCTCTCGAATCGGAGCGAACATCACGCAGAGAACCCCGCGTCTTTTGGCTGCAGCTGCAGCTGAAGCCCGGGGTTGAAAGTGAGGAGAAGCCCCCGGACCCGTACACACTCCAAGGATCCCGAATGCAGAAGGCCGCGTCATGGAATTCGGGTTTAACATAGTAGTCTGCTTTGCCAAATGCCCAGCCTCTCTTGGCTAAGGCTGGGGCCCGCGGGAGGGGATGAGAACACCAACTTTGACGGTCTGGGGAGGATCGTTACCGCTCTCTCAGTTTCCCGCGGCGCCAGCCATCGCGCATATATCCCGCATCACGATGAGCGTGGGGAGTCTGGAATGCTCGGAACACTACCAGCCTACCAGGCACTTGGGTTCTCGCCGTAGACGGTTGGGGGTGGTTGAAAAGCTCGCCGCAAGTCGAGCTGATCGATGGGAACGGATTGAAGCGTCTGCCAGGCTTGCGTTAGCAATAAGTCTATCAAAGACGGCTTTCCTCATTGCCGTGCTGCCGTGGTGTGTCTGCCGCACCGCCGTTATCGCGAGCCAGCCAGCTCATAGGCAAAAAAAATAAGTCCAGACTCCCCCCGGATGGCGCGGCGTAGAAGATCGACAGCACCAGAGCAGGGTGGAGCGGATGAAGAGGGGGCCGGCTCGGATGACAAAGAAGCCTGTCCGTTCCATAGAAAATGATCTCATGGACTGATGGCGATCCAATCGTAGGTGCAAGTCCTGTCGTGATTCGCGAAAACAGGACTTTTCGACTTTCAGACTCTCGAGGGCCTCATACCTTGGGGGCCTGTACATTTTGTTTCGGGCGCGGCTGGTTTCCTCCACCTGATTCACGCATGGCCCGCTGACAGGTCGTCTACGATACGAGTCTATCGATACGGAACCAGATCACGTTGCCAAATAGCGAAGGGTCGCAGTTGTACCTTGTAGCTAGGTACTTCGTAGGCACACTGCGTACGAACACCACATATTTTGAAAGCCGAAATTCGGTAGTGGTTGGGGGGCGACTGGGCGATATTGGAGACGTGGAATTTAATTTGGAATCGGCAAGTCTTCTTTCAACGTTCCATGGCGCGTCTGCACAGCCCTGCGCCAACTGATTCCCGGGGATTAAAAGTCAAATCGATGATGGTCTTGATGACAGAAGCATATCCTCACTCCTGTGCGGCGAAGAGAAGCATATGGTCCCCGCGAGAAGTGTGGTCTGACACCACGACGGCAGAGTTACAAGACAACTCATGCCGCCCACTCCAAACCAGGTTGGTTCAATAGATTAGTGTTCTTGTTGGCGCCAAAAATTGCGGGAGGAGGAAAAGTTGGTCATATGGTTCCTAAAGACGGACCTAGATGTGCGGCTCCGAGAGGCTCCGGGGTCGAACCTCGAAATCCGCAAGACCCGGAAGCATGAGGTTATGGCGTGGTTGTTGCCGGCGGCCAAGGCGATCCGATGAATCTCATTTCGACGGCGAGGGGCATCTTCTGATCCGTCTGCAACACCCCGGGTCCGACAGAAGATGATCGACAGTGTTCTGCCGTGAAGACTGTGATGGCATGATCCCAGTTGCACCCATGGCTTCTGCTCATGGCCGCCCCGCGTACCAGCCTCCCAGCTTTCGAGCCTTCCGAGAATATGATAGTCTTTTCCTCTTGGGCGCACAAAACTGGCTGCATCGTCTTTCGGTGAATCATGGATTTATGGGCCTGCAAACAAAGTGGGCGTTGTGCTGCAATTTGGGGCGCAAACATCTTCAATGATAAATCCACCACACTTCGTCGCATGCTTGAATTATTGACGCAGGCGTAAAGCCCAGAAAGGTTGATGTCCAGGTACACCGTACTCTGCAGACGAAGACAGGCGAGCGGGAGCCAAGCCATTCTTGTCGCCGTCATCAACGGCGGGGATAAGTTAGTGTGTCCGGATTTGACGGCACTCACCCTCGGTCAGCGTCATTAGTCGAAGCAGCCCCCCATTGGAGCGGGCCAGTATCCCCAGACGCACTGTGAAAAGACTATTTCTTCATACTGTTGCGTTGTTAGTCACGGATCAATCGGCTTGTCTTTGCGCGTATTTCGCCACTTGAGACAGCTTGACACAGCTTCGAAAGAGCGAAGTCGTAGTTTGGTTGCGACTCTGATATCCTAATGGTCATTGATGACCATGCCAGTAAGCACATTCTCGGAATTCAACACTTCAATGGTAGCCACACAACTACTGAGGGAAGTCCTCGTCACATCGATTTCGCTAGTCTGGCGTCCCCAGGAACAGCAATGATCCCAAATGAGATCAAGCTTTCCCGGGTTGGCGTCTGAGCGTTTCCAGGGGCTTGGAGGGTTTGAGACGGAGCAAGACACAGCAGTGTCCAAGAGAGCCGTTCACTGGCCAAAGAATCGTAAGGTTGTTCGTGTTCTGGCATCTGATAAGATGTTTGAGACATACATTGTCGTGTTGCTAGAGCAGTAAGGATCCTCTAGAAGTGCCATTGCGCTTTCATGTCTGACGTCTTGGCCTGGCACCCTGGGGGATACCGACTGCCAAAGCAGCGGTCTAGTGCTCGGACTGGCTGAGGTGGCACTGACAACGATTAGACGTGGCCGAGTAAGTGCATCTTTTCGAATTGCTGGCGGTAGGGTCCGAGGAGTCACTTCAACTGTGCTAGGAGGATGACACATTGACAAACGCTTGAATCAAGCAAGCACACATTGCCGATAGAGTCGTCGTGGCAAAAAAGCGTCGTCTTTGTCTGTGATGCTGAAACATTGAGAAGATGGGGTGAAATCAATTGCTCGTCGGCCCTAGCGTTCCGAAGATGACCATCTGAATTTTCGAGTGGTTGCAGCGCATGCAGCGCTCGCCAGCCAGCATACTGTTGCTCGCCATGAACAATAGTTCGTAGCTATTATTAATTGCCCTCGCGAGCTTCAGACCGTCCATCTCGTCGAAGCGCAGATGCAGGTTCTATTAATGATCATGTCTGAGATGTTGAGACGTATTCCAGACGAGGCACAGTATGGACGTCGTATTCCGTGCCAGTTGATTGAGTTATTGCTTTTCTTCGTATTGGACGGATATATGCGCGTTGTGCTTCTTTTTTCTCTTCCTTCCTCCCATGCACTTATGCGGGATGTGCCGTGGGTAACTTGTCGATGTTGGTGTTGAAGATTTGAAGGCTTGCTTGGTACTTCGCATGTTGCTTCTCCCGGGCCGGGGTAGCCGTACCTCGAATCGGTGCCGCATTGCCCTACGCACTCTTACGGATACACAGTAATTTGGATGCCAGAAACGAGATACAGACGGGGTTAGTGATGGCGTGCTCGGTTGCTCCCATCTGCAAGGCACAACCCAGCACTCAACTCCGAGATTGTACAATCCGATGGCTCGTCTGACACTGGCTTGACTCGGTGACATGGATCCAAGTACGCGATGTCCGGGGCTGGGAAAACCAAAGCACTCTACTACGTAAGTTGGAAACCCGTTCGTGAGGACAAGGATGAAGCAACAGAGTAATGCGCCATGGCTTCGAAAAGAAAGCATGGCAATTCCGACAGATGTTGGTTACCCTGGCTTGCCTTGCTGAAAAGGCGGCTGATAATCGTAGGTTGTATTGGTCCTGAGAGATGTTCATCTAGGTGCCTGCTGTTCGTATGCCTTTCCGTTTCAATGTCAGGCCCAGTAATAATGTTGGCCGTTCGGTTCCAGGAGGTATGATCGTGAAAGAGACATCAAACTCTCAGACACGCGGCTCCAGACAGTTGGACTCGGGCGATCGTTTGGCGAGGGACGAAACAACCGAGCAGTCGTATTCCACTCTTACCCTTGTCGACTTTGCTTCTGGCGTAAGCCGCTTGGTGCTTGCTTCTGCCGCATGGTGTCGCGGCCTTTCCCTTCTCCCATCCGGCGCCGCATCCCCACAGCATACATACTCTGCTTTCTTTTGGAGGCATCGCCAGAGCATCGGCCTGGGCCGCCGGAGAGCGGCTGGCGTTGACGATGCGCACCGCGGGCTAAGCTGACCGGTAGCCTAGTACCCGGCCGTAGCGGTGCGGGATTAGGCTTGTTTGCAAAGACAAAGGAGAACAAAGAGCACGGCATCTTGCATGATCGGTTGTTCATTGCCCATGTCACTTGAAAACTGAGAAATGATGATTTGCCGAGGCACTGGAGAAGTTGATGCTGGAATTGAAATCATGAACGGGAAAGTGGGCGAAATGGGAGCTGAGGGCACGGATGGTTTATCCGACGTGATATCAGCAGGGGAAAGAAGCCCCTTCTTCTTTGGAAGCAGTGTCAGCAGGAGGCCCGACCAGTGTTGGTGTTTGTGACTTGATGTTGCGGTGCAGGTTGTGCGGGCGCGACAGGCAGTTTCTTTGGAATTTCAGGCGCCATGATGCGAGGTATGCGCTACCTTCGCCGACGGCAGCCCGTAGCAGTGCGGCGATAGTATACAGTACCTTGCGTGTCAGATCAGCATCATGCTGGGCCCCTTGATTCGACGCGAGATTTCTCTACCTAGGATAGGGGTAGATGAAATCCGATAGGGTGCGATGTTCAGTACCGGTATCAGCCTCATGACGGCAGAGGGAACAACGACAAAGAACCGACGGATTGGCCGAGATGAATAGGAGAATCGGATTGTTCATCACGGGAAGCGGCGCTTGAGCTTTGATTTTGTGTACGGAGTAACTAAGATGGTCCGTTACCTACGGAGTAGTAGGGGGGGAATAGACCAGCGACGCTAAAACCAAGCACCACTGTGTATGGCGGTGGCCCAGCCATTCACTCACTGTGATATATCCGTACACCAGAAGCGATGGAAAGAGAAAGACAGCCACATTTCTGACCTTGAGAACAACACACTTGTCTTTGCATTATACAAGCAGGCCATATACTCAAATTCCCCGCCGGTTCTCTACCGGTTCCCCAGCCAAGGCCCCGTTCAACCATGGCATTTTATGAGAGCAACCCACTTCCGCAGTAGGGCAATATGTGAGCACTTGAGCGAGAGGTGACACTAATCCTAAATGAGGATGGTGGGCTGTCCGAGGGTCGAGTCCCATCACTCACATTGTCTCTGGCGTGGCGCCTTCTTTCCCGAAACGGACTAGACTGGGGGCACCCTACGGCAGCAATCGACGGCCCTGAGTCCCTTTGACTGCTCGCTCAGACCCGTGAGCGTCCATCTCAGTCACCTACGAGATGCAGTCAAATACTTTCAAATGGCAGCGCTTCCATCCATGGTGGATGTCTGTGCTGTCTCGGTACCTACGAGGCACTAGGTATTTTATTCGTACTATTCCATACCGGATAAGGTACGAGTACGGAGTAGGTATGCTCACTTCTGGTTGCCCGTCTCCATGACACCCTCTCGTCCCCCTACCTAGCTTGAGGTGTGTGTGCACCAGCACAGATTGGAAAATGCTAATTGTCTGAGGCATCGCAGTGGCACAGTGTGAGGCCAGCCAACATCCTTTTCATCCAGGCCCGATGCCAGGTTACCAACACCACAAAGAAGACCCGGTTTCTCAGCACCTCCACCTCCTTGCATACAATCCTGGCGCGGGCTAACTCACACCCTGTCCAATCCCATCTTGCAGGCCGTTTCTCCGTTCCATCGCTCTTCCCCAGTCTTTCCTTTCGCTCTCTACTCCGTACTGCGTATGCCTACCTTTTTCCTTCGTGCCTTCTTGCACTTTTACCTGAGGCTGGGTAGGTACGGAGTACTTGGGTACCACTCTGCCACACTTGTTCGATTTGGTCCTTGGTGTCTGATGTGTCTTGTCTGGGCTGGGTCCTTCCTCCTCCTTCGCACTTACCCGCCCATCGCCTTGTGCTTCTCCACTCTTTTCACTGCGACCGGGCTGTGTTACGCTCTTCCTGTCCGTCAGAGTTCCATGTCCTGTTCCATACTTATCCCACTCCACCTGCACTTTCCCTCCCTCCGCACTCTCTTGTCTGCTTTTGTCAACCTTCCCCAACCACCATCCGACATCGTGTCGTGATTCTCCTCTCGCTTCAATTCGCTCTACTCACCACGCCTCCTACGGCTTGAGAGTAGATTGGAATCACGACTGGTATTCAGACGGAAGAAATATCTCCAGAGAGGGCCTCTTCTTTATTGCATCGGATTGTATCGATTGCACGCCGCATGCGAACGGGGAGTTTAGATCGACCATTTCCGTCCACTATCGCTGTTTTCGGCTTCCCGGTTTCAAATCAAGGCAGTCCTTCTACCTGACCACACCCATCTCTTAACTCCATGAACTCGACTTTCTCCCGACCGTGAGTTCTCTTTCGGCATCACCTCCCAACGGTGTTCGACTTTTCAACGGCCAGGACTTGGATTCCGATATCTAGATCGCCGTCAAAATGCCTGCCATCGACCAGGTCTTCGTCGAGGTCTCCCACCTCGTGGTGCGGCAGGTCCTATCTTCGGGTTCGGGTTCTGCCACATCGTTCGCACCATCTAGTACCGACCCTACGTCGACTCTCAATGATGCCACGAGTGCAATCCAAACGACGACTGACAATCCGACGCCTACCGGCAATTCAGGCAATGGAGGAGGGGGCGGCGGCGGCGGTTCTACGAGCTCTCCTCTGCTCTTCTTCGTCGCTCTGGGCTTTGGAGTAGTCTTTACGAACTTATGGTTAGCCTGCTTGAGAAGTGACTTTTTCTCGTACAATATTCATCTAACTCCGCCTCTAGGATCATCGTTGGCGTCAAGTACTGCTTCCGGTACAATGCTCGTAATCGTGCTATGCGTCTCAACGAAGATGGCGAGCCCATCAATTTGGAGAACATGCCTCGCCCGCATCGTCGCCGCCGCGAAAAGAAGTTGATGACGATGGATGAGGTCAACGATAAATTCCCCATGACCAAGTACAAGACGTGGGTATCTGAGCGTGCACGAGAGGGCCTGCCTACCGCCGGAGGTGTCTCTGCGCCGCCCAGTCGGGCAAATAGTCTCCGATCTGTGGATGGAATTGTACCTGAGCTGCCCTCAAAGGAGCGTGAATCGATTGAAGATCGCCCCGCCACCGCTGCCGGGAACAAACCCGTTGCTGAGAAACCTGCCGAAGATGCGGCGAAGAAGGATGGAGACACCTCGACCGCGACTGCCAACGCTGATGCTACTCAGACCACCCCGACTTCTGCCACTCATCTTCAGCGTGTACACAGTGAGGAGGAGGACGAAGACGACGAACACATCAATGCCGCTGTCCCGCCCGAGCTGATGGCCACCAGTGGTGACACTTGTGCTATCTGCATTGACACGCTCGAGGATGATGATGATATTCGCGGACTCACATGCGGTCACGCTTTCCACGCTGTTTGTGTCGATCCTTGGCTCACCAGCAGAAGGGCCTGCTGCCCCTTGTGCAAGGCCGATTACTACACCCCTAAGCCCCGACCAACCCCTGGTGACGGAGACCCTAATGCCACAGGCGACATGGCTCGTACGGCGTCTCGTACCAACATGCCTAATGCTCCTCCGGCTGCCTGGTATAACCTGAGCGGCGCACGATTTGGCCTGGGAGGACGAAACAATGGTAATCGTCGGGGCAATAACCGATCGGATCGCCGTCCTCGTACTCGTCAACAGGCTGCACCTGCTTCAAACCAAAACACTTCGCAAGCCTCGCCTACTACTGCGGAGAATCAGGAATCTCGTGGACTCCTCTCCAACATTAGGCTGCCTGCCTTCCGCAACCCCCTGCGACGCGGCGGCGATCAGCAAACGCCATCCCCGACGGTAACTGGTGCTAATGTCACACCGTCCCAATTGGAGGCTGGTACGCAGACTGCACCAACCGCCACCACCGCCATGACTGAGGCACGATGACCGTCTTCTAGATGATTGTATCACCTACTCAGGCGAACGCGATTTTGTTTTTATTGTTGTGCTACTCGTGTACATCATACCCTCGAGACCAATTTGCAGATCTCAGCATAGACCTGCGATGTTTTACTGCATTATATATGCAACACGACGCCGCTTTTCATACCCATACTTTACATACAGACGCAGCGGGATTGGGCCACATGTGCCATTGGAGGAGGGCGGTGGACCAGGCCGCGCTGCGGCAGAGGCAGGTTTGCATTACAGGCACAGGGTGACCTGTTTTGGTTTGGTTTCTCTGGAATTACAAGGGGAGCGGCGGAGTTGCGGCGATAAAGGCACCATTCGTCACGGAATAATGACAATCAAAGTTAACGTACCAACTCATGTATTGACCGGACAACGTGATGTGACTGTGAATATATGTGACCCTACGGATTTAAGCCCGTGGCGTGTATTGGAATAACATTGAAATGATGTCGGATGTGGATTATTCAATAGTGACAAATGCACCGCCCGGAACAGGATATTTGAGCAACCTTGTGGTACTGAGGCCCAGTTGGAATACCCCGTTTTGCCTGTCTATAGCAGCGACCCAGAAACTACAATGTGAACTCTTCATATATGCAGGAAGAACATAGTCAAAGATATGATCCCTTCTGGAAACGGCCACCAAAGTCTTTGGCTTTGTTGAGCAGCTCTCTCCTCTGCGCCGTCCCAATCTTGCCTCCCAGGGACATGTCCTTTTCTCTATCGAAAGCCCTCTTGCTCGGATCGTCTTCCTCCTCCTCAGCAGGCTTCCCGCTGTGTTTCTTATTCTGATGATGCTCCTCATACATGCTTTTGCCGCGCGCACTCGCAATGTTCTCGCTGATGCGTCTCTCCCGTTCCACTTCCTCCTTGGTCCGGCGCGGCTGCTGGTTCTTTTCGTTGCCCGCTTGTGTCGGATCACCGCGGCCGAGGACCGCGTCCTCGAGGCGTTTACGCTTTTGTTCTGGGGTTTCGGTCCATATACTGCTGATTCCTCCGCCTCCGCCTCCGCCTCCTGCGGCGGCGGAGGATTTCCCGCTGGCGAATTTGCGGTTCTTGAGTTTTGTTGGGTCACGTTCTTGGTAGCCTGACTGCGTGGGCGGCGCGAGCATCCAGTCATCGCGCTGGGGTGCCGCAGGACCTTGGGATGCTGTTGCTGCTGCTGCTGCGGCGGCGGCTTGGGCTCGTTGGACGGATGTTGTTGAGGAGGGAAGGGCTGGGCCGTAGTCATCGTCGTCTGAGTCCGAGTCCGAGTCTGGGGCGGAGGGGCGATGGTCTGGTGGTGGCATGGCGGGACCTATGGCTTGCTTCGGGGGGAGAGTTGGGCCTATTGAGGGCTTGGTCTTGGAGGGTTCTTGGGTTGATGCTGATGCGCGAGGTGCTGTTGGGCCGTAGTCGTCTTCGGAGTCGGAATCATCGAGGGGAATTTCGCTCGAGTTTGTTGGGTTTGATGGTGGGAGGGTTGGCCCGATAGAGGGCTTCGATGATGGGGTGGGATTCTTAGGTGCTGCCGGCGCGCTTGGCGCGGTCGGTCCGTAGGCGTCGTCGGAATCGTCGTCGTCGAGGTCGATTTCGTCGGTGTTGCGCGTGTGCTTTGTCGGTGGTGAGTTTGCGCCTTGGTCATCCGGAGTGCGCTTCCTCTTTGTGAGATGCGGTGGCATTTGCGGGCCAATTGAAGACATGATGAAGGGTTTCTATTTGCAAACTGGAAGTGGTGAAGCTTCTGGCCTGCGCTTCTTCTCCGGTATGTGTTGTGTTGGGAGTAAACAAGTCGTCGCAATGGGAGTCTGGGGAAGTGGATGCAAGGAGCAGAGCGAACCTGCGCTGTGATGTAATTTTGAAGATCCACCACGGCGAGCATGAGGTCCCTGCCTCTCGGTGCCTATCCGTTTGCTGATGGCGTAGTTTGACGGCCCGCCGGAGAAACCCCGGTCCGTGTTGGAGCTCTAGGCGGCAGGAACCTAGAACCTGGAACTGCAAGGTGCCCGGTGAGTGTGGGCTGTGGTGTCCAAGCTGCGTAATGCGCCTCTTTCAGAAGACAACGAAACAACCATTGATCAACAGCTCATCTTCGTCTGATAGGAGCTGGGATAGTGGGATCGCATCGCCAGAGAACACAACTTCATTCATGAGCTTTCGTCATCTTCAGCTCCGAGCCTAATTGACCCAACTTCTTCTACCAATCCTCCCTTCCCCAAAGCACTTATCAAGCTTCCGAATCCAAAACGAACTCTCTAACCTGCGACCGTAAGCGATGTGCCTGACGAACCGCCATTGATGACCCCACCATCGAAGGAGAGAGATGATGGACCTGGAGACACAATGGCAGATCAAGACGACCGGTCCTCCGAGGACATACAAGCTTCCAGTGATGAAGAGACCGTAAAGGCCGAGAGGGAGGAAGATGGCATCGTCGGCCTTTTGGACGATGAAACCCAGACGTCCAGCAGCACACCACCAGCGACCGAGAGTGGCGCACTTCCGAATCGATACAGGGAGATTTTGCGCGAGCAAGCCGACAATGTGTCCGACGAGGGCTCCGTGGATGCCGTTCCCAAGAGGGTTGGGAGTCCGATTGATTCCCTGATGTCGGTTCCTGACGATTCCCCATCGATTCAGGCAAGTACAGCCTCACAGCATCCGAATGCGCCCCAACTAACCTTGTGTGTCCAGGGCTCCGTGATCTCGTCTCCGAGCAGTAGCGTCCTCCCCTCTGTGGCCTCCCGACCCGGCCTCAGCAGTCCCACCCCCTCATTCCGGCCCTTCGACCGCCGCTTCCAGTCCCGCATCTCCTCCGCAAGCTTCATTCACAGCCCGCGATCCTCCTCCCCTGGCTTTCTCACCGGCCACAGCCGGTCTGCTTCCCTTAGTTCAAATCTACTAGACCGCGACGACACCGACACCCCATCTCCGCCATGGGAAGTTGTACGATGGACGAGGTTGAAGAAACTCAACGGCCAGGCCTTCTCCGAGGCTGGCAAGCGCAACTTTGGCGCCCCAACATGCATTGCTGTCTCCGCCTCGATCGTTCTGGGGACCACGAAGGGTATAATATTAATGTTTGATTACAACCAGGTCTTGAAGACCATTATCGGCCCAGGGACTAAGGCGGTCGAGTCTGGCGCCATCACTGCCATTGCAGTTTCGGCCGACCATACCACGATTGCCGGAGGCCATGCGAACGGAAACATCTTCACCTGGGAGGCGAACCGAGCATCCAGGCCGTTCCTTTCCATACCGCACCTCGAGCAGCCGCAACTGCAGAACCGGACCGTGGATGGACACCTGCCAGGGGTTGCCGTGACCCATCTCGGCTTCCTCGGAACAAGGCACACCGCGCTGGTGTCGGCGGACGACCGTGGCATGGCGTTCTCGCACCTGGCAACGAGAGGTACAGGATCTCTTGGCCGGACCGTGAAAACGACGAGGATACTAGGAAGATATCCAAACGCAGCTCCTCCAACCGGCAAGTCACTCAAGCCTAGCACGGTCCTGGCATTTAGTCCCTTGCCACTTGGCAACACTGAGCGCGCAACAGACACTATGGGCCTCACGGCAATGCTCACGCCATATCTACTGGTTATCGTGTCCACGACGCCCGTTGCGCAAACCCAACACAAGTCGGCAAGGCCGAAGGACGTCGCTCATCATAGCGCCATGACCGGCTGCCTGGCGTGGTTTCCTGCCGTGAAGCTTAAGGTTCCGGATGCTGTCACAGGAAGCGATATTTCAAAAGTCAAATTGGTGTACTGCTGGTCCAATGTCTTGACTGTTCTAGACGTTGACGAGATACCCGCTGAGAACAAGGACAAGCCACCAACGCTCAAATTTAAGGCACGGAGCAGGTGGAAGTGTGAGGAGGCCATCGTCGCGGTGCAGTGGCTTAGTCGCTCGGTACTCACTGTCCTGACAATCTCACAGCGCTTGATTGTGCTCGAGGACCGAACAATGCGACAGACGGAAGGCTTCGATTTGATCAACAAGTTCATATACCATGCCGACCTCTTTTCAAAGCAACTACACACCCTAGTGGAGCAATTGGACGAGGACGATACGTCTATGCATGGTGTTGTGGCTGACGCATTTTACATGAGCTTGAAGACGTACAAGGGCAAGATATTCTTGCTTGGGTTCAACGATGTCTCCATCGGGTCGCTATCGAACTGGGCTGATCGAATCATTGCTCTTATGGAGAATGGTGATTATGTCGGCGCAATACAGCTTGGCACATCATACTATACTGGTGATGCAGACAAGCTTACAATTGGGTTACCTGAAGACACCTCGCTGCGGCACTCTATGGTTCGCGACAAGCTCATGGAGATTATGAAAGCATCACTCAAATACGCCTTCACACAGCGGCAAAAGGACAGATCAGCAGCCGACGATAACCATGTGCGGGAGCTTTGTGAGACGTGCTTCACTGCCTGCCATAATGTGGGCGACGTCGATTTCCTCTTCGAAGAGATGTACGAGTGGTATGAAGACGCAGGCGTGGAAGGCATCTTCTTCGAAACCATGGAGCCCTACATTCTCGAAAAGAACATTACCATCGTACCACCTGCTGTTGTGAAGGCCATGGTGACATACTACGTCACCAAAGGATGGGAGAGTCGTCTCGAGGAGATTATCGTTCACATGGACACTATGACGCTGGACCTGGACCAAATCACACTGCTGTGCAAGCAGCACAGCCTCTACGATGCGCTGATATATGTCTGGAACCAGGCATTGAGCGACTACATCACACCTTTGATCGACTTACTAACGTTGCTGGTGCCTCTCATGAGCAATGGCGACTATATGTCTTCCGGAAATATGGAAGACGAGATTTACGGCGTGAACGCGCTGAAAATGTTCCCCTACCTCTCTTACACATTGACGGGTAGAGTATATCCTACCGGCGAGATCATGGACGACGCCACTGCCTCAAAAGCTAAGGCTGAAATTTACTGGTTTCTGTTCTCAGGAAACAGTGTCACATGGCCAAAAGGCAGCGACCGACGCTTCCTTACGCGGCCAGACCAGCACACAGAGCCGTCCTTCCCGTATCTCAGACTAATACTGAAGTTTGATGCCCCAAGTTTCTTGAGTGCGGTAAACGAGGCCTTTGAGGATTCGTTTTTGAACGATTCGCCGGACAAGCAAGTTAACGGTGGCATCAGGGGCGACGTGCCTGAAGAGCAAATCTTTGGCCGTACGGTCGACCGTCAATACATCGTATCCATACTTCTGGAGATCATGAACCCAGCGGACTTCGCAGCCGAGGACACGATCTACCTCGATATGTTCATTGCTCGGAACCTGCCAAAGTTCCCTCAATACTTGCTCTTTCCGGGTTCAACTCTGACGAAGGTTCTAACCGGATTATGCAACTACCCCGGAATAGATCTTGCCGAAGATGCACAGCTCAGCGCCGAATACCTCCTCTCGATTTATCAACCGCCCGATGCGAACACGCTCATACCGATGTTCAAGAAGGCCGGTTTCTACCGGATTTTGAAGAGGCAATACAAGGTTGATAAACAGTATTGCAAGCTAGTCCAGACTTATTTCGAAGACCCCGCTGACCGGGACGCCGTCTTTGAATGTATCGGGGATTGTCTCCGGCCACATAGTGGTCTGAACCGCCGCCAGGTTCAAGAAGTTCTTGACGCAATCAAGAACAACGCCAGGGCTCTCATCGAGACAAACCCTGTCGAAGCGGCGAAATCTCTATCAGGGCAGCCCGCAGACATCCACCGACATGTTCTGGACTCTGCCGATGACTCTCTGGGGCTGCAATTCTTTTACCTCAGAACGTTGCTTGAGCCAGAAAAGCGCGATGGGGAATCCCCATCGAACCCCGACCGAGCTCTGATTGAACGCTATGTACAGCTCATGTGCAGATTTGACCCTGCTCATGTGTCCGACTACATTGGCTTGGTCCAATCCGTGAACCTGAGACTAGATGCCTTGCTTCCCACCATGGAAGAGACAGGTGTCATCGACGCCGCCGTTGTGCTCATGGCTCGCGAGGGCCAGGTCAAGGATGCTATGGACAGACTTGTCAAGCACCTCGGCACGCTCGAGGCGGCCCTGCAAGGTGTCCTGACGGGCGCTCAAAACAATGACAAGACTGATGACTTGCAGTCAGGGGCTGAAGAAATCCTGCGGGCACTGCAGAAGTACGTGCATGTGGGCATCTGGCTTTGTCAAGGTCAGACCAAGTCTTCAAGAAAAGCGAATGGCGTCCAAAAGAAGACAAAGCCCTCCACTTCAGAGGTTTTGTCACCTGATGAAGAGCTTTGGCTCAACCTGATCGACGCAGCTGTACAGACAACTCGTCAGATATCGTCCATCATTGAGACTACAAGCACCACCGAGAATGGCACTCTTCTTCATGACACTCATGATGGGCTTGACGGTCTTGACAAGGACAAGCTTCTGGCTCTCTTGCGATCACTTGTTCAACACACTTTTACGGCTCTCCTGACAACGACTTCCAGCCCTGCAGTAGGTCAAGGTGGAGGGAGACTTCTCACCAATGCTGGAAGCAATTTGTCATTCCTCCGAATTCTACGAGCTTTCCTTACTCGAGCCGCGGCCTCATCACCTAACCTCGCAGATTTACGCTCCGTTCTGGCATCTATCTTCTCAGCCTATGCATACGAAGAATCAATACTTCGGCTTTCCAATCGACTTCTTGAGCGAAGCCTGTTTGTCAATGTCAAGCAAGCCGTAGACCTTCGTCAACGCGGCTGGCGACCCAGGGGCTCGACATGCGAAGCTTGTGGCCGCCGGATCTGGGGCCCTGGTGTGTCGGGGAATGTCTTCGAGGCTTGGGAGGAGAAGCAAGCGCGGGAAGAAGAATGGAAATCAGAAAGGAAAGCCTTGGCTGTTGCTGGAGACAAGGGGAAGGTTGGGAGCGGCAGCGATGTATCACAGGCCGCATCAGATTCCAAAGGGAAGGGTAAGGCCGCGCCTGTGGCGTCAGACTCCCATGTGGAGGCGGACGAGGCGGCGCCGGAAGAAGGCGCCGAGGGACAGAGCGAAGTTGTGGCGAAACCGAGAGAGCAGCCGCTGGGACCGTTGGTCGTGTTGGCTTGCAGGCATATTTATCACCAGAGCTGCCTGGACGCGTACCAATCCCGGCCAGAGGTTGAGGGGAAAACCCGGGCAGAGACCCACGCGAGGGAGTACAGGTGTCCGATTGATGGATAGATAGACTTGGGTTGTATCTTCTGTGCACTAGGCATGTACAAATTTTATGAATGAACGAGACTTTTGGACGGCGAGCAATGCCGGGTCCACGGTGATATCACCAACGTGAGCCGGTTCTCGATCTAGAAGGACGCTCAGTGCATGCTTTCAAGACGCCAGTGTACTATGCCTGTATGCAATGCCGGGACTAGTTTATATTCTGAGCGTCTAGGATATTGCATCACTTAGTAGACTCTCAGGTAGTAAGCAGTCTATCTTTAATTTTCTGCCCTGAGTTTCCAGAATATAGGCTCTCACGAGGGAATGCCTTGTAAACGTTTTCTGTGCACAGGCCAAGCCGACTACCGTACTCCGGAAGATATTGTTGGCGGAGGTGCGGGGCCGGTGGGGACCGTACTAAACGCCGGGGCGGGCTTCCGGGACTGATCGGGGCGGAAAGGGGGCTTCTTTGGGCGTTTGTACGAACTCTTGGGTTCCATCGCCTTGGTCTCGCATACCTTGTGCTCATTTCTTAGGTCTCTCCAATTGAGAATATTATAGTCTCCGACGTCGTCTTAGATGCAGGTACATAGATATTTAGCACCCCTAGATAGGTTGGTCCCGCGCTCGCGGAGCGGGCGCTCCAGAATTTTGGAAGACCGGTGATTTGCTTCTGAAACGCAGGCTTTGCCTATTTAAGCAGGTTGCGCATCTAGGTATAATTATGAAGGCATGGCTCTCGATTGGCGATGGCCAGACTGTTATGGCGCAATTGGGTTTTTGTGAGGGTTCAGCAAAACATCAATGTGCTCTTCTTAACTACTATGTATGAGTCCATCTTATTGGGCATGTTGGCATTATCTTGTTGGATGAACTGGATTGCGTCGAGTAGCCCTAGATTTCACCAGAACAAAAATCGCCTGAGGTTGTTTCGGCAAGGACACATCAATAGTGAACGTCCTGATATACCGAGTTTAAAGACTGGGTAAAACGTTCTACCTTATTAGCGAACCCCCGTTTAATAGACAAGAAGATTTCTGTGGGCGCATACAAGAATTGCCGCAATAACCTGCCCATCCCGTGGTTCTCTTTCGGGACTTGAAAGCACGATAGCGGAGTGGGTGCCATTTTTACCATGTCACCATGTGTTCCTCGTGAGTCGTCGAGGCCCACCAAGACCCTTGTGCCGATCCGGACTTTCCTCTTGCAGTATCGCACACGAAACCCTCTCGTTCTCGGTGCTTTTTGGTACGATCTTTCCTGACTTTGCATCTCTCTGGCGGGCAGCTCCGAGGTTCTGATTAGGCAGTCGGTATGAATCGAGCTTGGCTACGGAGCAGATGGGCACAATGTGTAATATGGACGTGATCCCTTTTCTGCCTTTGGTGGGGGAGAGGAGCTGATGGCTCTGTCAGTACTTGAGAAACAGGTTGAACGGTAAACCCAAGTCGCCAAACGTTGCGAAGGTTGCGCGTATACACCAGCATCCCTGCCAATCAGACTGACAACGCGATCAACGGCCTATGCCGCAAGAGGGCGCCTGTCAGGTTGTCAGCGAGGGGTTTGAAAGCCGGCAGCTCGAAAGTCAAGCCTCGGGATCGGCATGTGAATGCAACATTCAATCCGATACATTTGACGGCGCCTTGTGCCAAGGATGCCATGAGGACAACGACTATCGTAAGGCGGTGCAAAGAAGCGCAAAAGCCAGAGAAGATTGCGGCACGGGTTATGCAAAAAAGGCCATGCCAATAAAGCAATATCGCGAATGTCACCTCGAGTAAGAGTCAACAAGGATCCCAAGAGGGCCGACTATTCCGATGACGGGGGTTGGGTTTGCAGTTGCCAGTGGTGCTTTACGCGCATTTCCACCAGTGGCACCAACCCGTGGGAAGCTGCCCACTGAAATGCCCCGGCCGATATTGTTCCACGATTCAACCCCCTCCGAACGACCACCACATCGTCAGCCCGGTGATGCAAAAGGGGCAGACAATTGGGAAGCACGCCGCACGTGGGAGGGTACTTGCGTGGACGACGGGCAGAAAAGAAGAACCTTTTTCTTCCCAACCGGAGGATTCCTGTCCGGCCGGGGGGTTCAATGCCCGGATATAATGAGTGGGACTCAAGGATCACGGACGAAGCGCCCGGTAGGGCCATGAGCGCCGAGGGGCCCATGGTCCTGGATGGACGACATGGGGGGAACCAGCTTGAGCACGCGCCCTCCTCCGCTTACATCGCAACCCTCAATCTATTCCCACCATAGAGGTTCCTTCAAGTGATTAAGCTTGAGAGGGGGGAGGGGGAGAGGGCGGTTTGTCAAGGGAAATTCCGCAGCACGGATCTGTCGGCCGGGACGGGAATGTCTGAGTTCCTTTTGGGGCTGGTTTACCGTATGAACTTTGGTCTCGGGAGCGGAGCGGAAAGAAAGGAGGGAGGAGGATGGATGGCCAGGGCTTCAGGTTTGCCAATATAACGAGACATGCTCCCAGATTTCCCGCCCTCTCCAAGAGAAAAAGAGGAAGGGAAGCTCTGCGCGTCTGTTCGTCCTCTCTGATTCCCTCTGTCACTCCTTTTTACTGCCAAGACTCGCACTGCTGCTGCGAGTTTTCTGTAAAACATAGGGTGACACCAAACAGCAACCATGCTGTTCCTTTCGTTCCTGTGCTCGCTCTTCTTCCTGCCGGCGGTCTTCGCGGCCTGGGGCTGGACTGACAATGGCTCAGAGTATGTCATTGACAGCGGTTCTGACCTCGTCATCAAGGTGACCAAGTGCTGCGGTGACATCTCTTCGCTCAACTATAAGGGCGTCGAGTATAACGGCTGGGGCGGCAAGAATACCCACGTTGAATCAGGTTGGTTTACGGATTGTATCTTTCCCTCGTGGCACTGAACAGGACTGACATGATCAAAAGGACTCGGTACCAGCACGGTCAGCATCACGAGCTACAGCAATGTCATCAAGGTCTCGGTCGTCCACGGCGTAGGTCTTTCCGCCTGCCCCCTCTTCAGCCCTCCCACTGTAACCTCAAAGGACCATATCCTGACAAACATCCACAGACTCTCAAGCACTGGATCTTCGTCCGCTACGGAAACAACAATGTGTACCTCTTCACGAACAAGGCAGACGACTCCGTCTCGGCCATGCGCTACATTGTTCGCATTCCGGGCGGAATTTTCTCCCACGACTCTACCGAGAGTGTATGTACCCTCCAATCTATTGATATGCCATAATAGGCAACTGACAGAGTACAAAAAAGGACTTCTATGATGCCAGCAGCACCATCATCGAGGCCCAGGACATCAACGTCAACAGCGCTGGCTTGACTAAGAGCAAGCACTACCAAGGCTCCAACTATGGCCGGTACGTAAACGTAACCTCTCATTCTCTGAGAACTTGACTAACTGTTAGCAGAGTCATGGATTGTAGGCGTCCTTGCCCTATGCGAACCTTATGTAACAATACTGACCCCTGATAGTCGACTACGTCGGCCGCAAGAAGACCGGCGTCGGCCTGTTCATGATCAGAAGCAACCACGAAAAGGCCAGCGGCGGGCCCTTCTTCCGGTCTCTTGTCCGTCGCGCGGACCCGACTGGTGAGGACTTGTACGACATCTACTACTACAACATGGGCCACACCGATCCCATGCGCACCGGTCTCCAAGGCCCCTCCGTCCTGGCCTTTACCGCTGGCGAGGACCCCAACAGCAACCTCTTTGCCCGCAAGGCCGACTGGTCCTGGTTCGATGACCTTGGTGTAAGCGAATTTCCCCTATTCAACACCACATAGCATACTTAATCTGACTCGAATCTAGCTCGATGGCTGGGTTCCCGCCTCTGGCCGCGGCTACGCCTCCGGCGTCGGTCTCTCTAACATGAAGTCTGGCAAGACATACGTCGTCGGGCTGTCCAACTCCGCCGCCCAGTACTGGGGAACCGCCGGCTCCGGCGGCGCCTGGTCCATCACCAAGATCATTCCCGGCACCTATACCCTGACCGTCTACAAGGACGAGCTCGAGGTCGCCACGTCCTCCGTCACCATCAAGGCTGGCGCCGGTACTGCCGTCAACACCATCACCTGCGTGGACCCCCAGGATGACGCTGTCATTTGGCGCATCGGCGAGTGGGGTCAGTCATATTCCCTATCCAAGCTTTGAACAGATGAAGAGAAGCAAGAGCTGACTTGTGGCATAGATGGAACCCCCAAGGGCTTCTTGAACTTTGAGGACACCCCCATGAAGCCCACTTACATGCACCCCTCCGACACCCGCATCTCCACCTGGAATGCGGGCAACTTCATCGTCGGCACCCACAGCGCCAACCGCTTCCCCGGTTACATGTGGAAGGTCAGTAGTCACTGCCTCCCCAACACTCTCAGGCGTCTCACTGAAGCGTGTGTACTAACAAAACATGTGTTCCTACCTTACAGGAGGTCAACAGCGGCTACCTCGTCTACTTCAAGCTCACCACCGCCCAGCTCGCTGCCGGCCACACCGTCCGCATCGGCATCACGGAGGGCTACATCGGCGGCCGCCCGGCCATCAACGTCAACTCGTGGGCCTCGGCCCTCCCCGCGGCCACCAACCAGGCTAGCACCCGCTCGCTGACCGTCGGCACCTACCGCGGCAATAACGTCAAGCTGACCTTTGCCGTGCCGCAGACCGCCTGGATCCAGAGCACGAGCGAGTGGCAGATCCTCACCATCAACGTCATTAGCGGCAGCACCGGCGAGAAGTACCTCAGCGCTGGTGTCAGCTTTGACGCTGTTGAGCTTCTGGCTTAGACGAAGTAGGACGGCAATATCAACCCCAAGGCTGTGGGAGAACGTTGAAGGTTTGACGACGCTTTGGACTTTGGGCTGCTGCAGCTCGGTGCTTTGCTGTCACTCATCGTCTTCTGTGCCATTTTTTCTTGAACATATCTTTTTTCCTTTTCAATTCGATGTACATACAAAAACCGTATATATCCCACAAATGACAGAGCTTTTAAGCCTGGATCTGAACCAATATTGAGTGGCCGAGTGAATTTCTGTTTTCTGCAGTGAGGAGCTAATCGTTGTTTGACAATTGAACCCAAAGGACCTTACCGTAACACGCACTCATCTTACTTGAGTGTCCGAGTTACTTTTTGTCAAGATATTCAAATGGGGGGTGAAGGGGGTCGTGGCAAAGGAAATTTTCCAAGATTGGACTTACCCCGATCTGATGCTTGTTATGTGTTATTGAGCGTATGTTCAGGGGCCCGTGGCTCGCACTCCTGCGTTGCTAGTACGTTTTCATGTTTTCATGTTTCCATGTTCCCATATTCTTGTGTTTTCTTGGCTGTTCTCTTGCGTGATTTATGTTTTCTCAGCTGTTTTCTTCAGCGTTTCTATGCTTTCTAAGAGATTCTTTATGTTTTGTTGTATGTTGTCATGTTTTGCTGCTACGTTTTGTGTGCTTAGAGGCATGTTTCCTCAACATGTCCTCACGTTTCCGTACGAAAACGCCCGCTTCCTTTTTTTGACATGTTCATGTTTTTTCACAGGAAATTTTTTTTTTTGGCTGTTTTCTTGATGATGGAAAAAATATCTAGGTCATTTTAACGGTTTCCAACGTATTTCCATGCTTTTGGGTCATGTTTTATCGGTGTTTTTATGCTTTGTTACCTGTTTTTTGTGCTCACATGCATGTTTTCTTGACGTGTTTCCGTACGCGTACGGGTTTTTCTTGTTTTCCTGGACAACTACGAGATGTCGAGCCAAAGGAACCTTAGCCGGCTTACTGGCAGTAAAGTCTGTCGTGGTCCACGTTAAACCAACTGTATTGAGAGCTAAGTCCTGATTGCTCCCACCCTCGAGCATCGGACTATGAAAGCTTTCAATTCCAAGAGACGTGCGTCTGCACGCAATGCTAGGAAACCACGAGAAGTTCCGTTGTAAGCTCATCTGTCAACTAGTTTCAACTCCGCTTCGTCTACACTTTCGAGCACCGTTCCAGCTTCTCACCGGTCTGGGAGAAAGCACATGCACGCTTCAGAGAGAATCCCAACGTTTTTCCATCGTCTGCATTAATGTCTGTTGCAGCACAAAGTCCCTAATTCCATATAACTAAATTCCCATCGTCTGCCCAGCATGCTCACATCTAAGCGTGGGTCCCTCGTGTACCTGTATCAAGCAGGCTGTATCATCTAGTGCCCCCAGTGTACAATGTTTCTCATCAAATCGTTCAAACCTGTTTTTTTTTCCTAGAAGATAGGCTCGAAAGTCAAGCGGCGTCCCCTCCCCCCTCATATTCATTTCCCAACCCAACAGTTGTACCAAACGCCCGCCTTGCCTGTACGTAGGCCCGTCACCGTCGTACCGTTTTTGTTCATCAAGTCCTCATTACTCCTCATCTTCCTCAGTAGACCCTGCGGGCGAAGAAGCCTTGGCCTTTTCATTCTCCTTCTCAGCCTCAGCCGCAACGGCAGCCATCTCGGCCTCCTCGTCCTCATCAACGTCGACCGTCTTGGCAGCCTTGGTCTCCGCCGGCGGCGGCACAACCTTGGCCTCGACCTTCTTCGTCACCCCGCTCAGGTCCCAATCAATCTCGGCGCCAGCGCCGTACCGGGTAACGAGCCACTCATTCGCCTTTTTAAAGTGCCCGCAGTCGAAGAACCCCCTCGACGCGCTGAGCGGGCTCGGATGCACGCTCTTGAGGACGAGGTGCTTCTTGGCGTCGACTTTGACGACACGTTTACCCGCGGGTGTGCCCCAGGCCACAAAGACGACGCCGCGCGAGCGCTTGGCGGCGACGAGGTCAATCACCTTTTGCGTGAAGCGCTCCCAGCCGCGGTTGGCGTGGGAATTTGCCTCGTGGGCGCGCACCGTCAGGCACGTGTTGAGGAGGAGAACACCGCGGTCGGCCCAAGGGGTCAGGAGACCGCCCTTGTTGGGGGGCGGGGCGAAGGATGGGTAGTCCTTCTTCAGGGCGATGTACATGTTCTTGAGGGAGGGGGGCGCCGGGGTGGGAGGGCGGACGGAGAAGGCGAGACCGTGGGCTTGGTTTACGTTGTGGTAGGGGTCTTGGCCGAGGATGACGACCTTGACTGTGTGGAAAGGGGTGTGACGGGACCTGGGAAAAGCCAATGGTGGTTAGAAAGGACGCCAGATATGGTTTCACGATGGGGCGGACTTTCGAGGGGAGCATACCAAGAGTACACATCCTCCTTTGGGGGGAACCACTTCTTTCCGGCATCCGACTCCCTGTTGAGGAAGCGCTTGAGGTCCAAAAACTCCTTGCTGGTGACCTCATCCTTGAGAAGCGCCAGCCAGCTCTCGTGCAGCGAGCTGATTTCGAGCTGCAGCAGCTCCTTCTGCTCGGCCGTCAGGCCGGCGACCCACTTGGCCTTGTCGAACTTGACCGCAGGCGCCTCAGGAGCGGCCGCGGCACCGGCACCGGCACCTGCTGCTGCGGTGGAACCAGCCCCCTTGTTGCCGGCCGCCGGCTTCGGGGCCCCGAAGAAGGACATGATGCTTCCATCTTGTTTGGGTTTCTTACTTTCGGAGGCGGACAGAGTGCCGGCCTTGCGCTTGAGTGTGGACATGTTGGCGTGTGGAGGATAAGGAGGAGGACTCCGTGGGAGGGAGACGACGACGTTGGCAGGAAGAAACGGTTGACCTGACCGCGAGCGTAAGACGGCGTAGGTTGCTGACCTGGCAAGGCGTAGAGAAACAATTGTGGTAAGAATTGGATCAGACAGTAAAATTCAATTCGTCATAAAGTTGGTACAGGTCGGTCTTGTTCACGTTAAAGAGGTGTAATACAACGGGCTAAGCAAGAGGTTTTGGAGTGGGGGACGGGAAGAGAAAGAGGCTGAATCCGGAGGTGTGAAGTCAAGGCAGTCGAGAATGAGATTTCCTTTAGCCCCTTCCACTGACCTTAAAGCTTGAACGCCCGGTCTGCGGACCGTCGCGTGGTGACGCGCTACCGATTGGGAAAAAAGCCATTAACGCGAATTGATAGACCCGCTGTTCTGGCGCGTCTTGACGGCTTTTAGTGGCTGGTAGGGGGCGGGGAGCTGCCTGGGAGCTGCAGCCCTGCAGCGGCCCCGGCTGCTTGGCGGTTCCAATTGCCCCTGAGAAGTCCCGTCGGCTATTTGGGACGAAAGTGGTGACTTCATCCATATCTCTAGCTTACCTTGCCTTATCTCAAGGTTTACCAGTCCATTATTGGGCAATTCATCCTGTCACCGCATGGCTGGGTTTGGCTAGGATCTGAAGTGTGACATTAAGGGAAACCACTTTGTGGACGAGGTATCATTACCCTTCAACTAGAATTACACGATTTTTTGTTTTCCCCAATGTCTAAACCAACCACGACGTATGCCGCTCGGATTGCAAACTCCAGGCCCGGGTCTTTTCCTTCCCGTCGTCAATAGATAGCAGCCCGCTGAACGCCCAATAATGCTGGAAATGGAATGAGTGGTGATGATGCTCCAATATTACTCCGCGTCCCTCCTAGACTTCTCGTTCACGCCCCTGAATACCCGCTTTCCGACTTCGTAACTGCTGATCATGATGGCACACGCCGGAGCCACCTTGAGTGTTCTGGGGATCCATCCTTTCCACAAGCCGCCGATTCCCTCCGTCGTGAAGATGTGCCAGAGCAAGCGCACCATGGAGCCCTGTTCAGCTGCAACGGCCTTGGCGCTGGCCTCGCCTGCTTGACGGGGCGCTTCGCGATACACCTGCGTCCTGGTCTTGCCCACGTCGAATGGCATCGTCACTATCGATGCGAACCCGCCAGAGACGGCGCCGGCAATGAAGCTGTCCGTCATAGTTTCCGTGTGGTTTTCGTGGCTTTGAGACCTGCGGCGCGCCTGGGTTCGTGATCCTCTAGTATCCAACGTCCGGCCGCGGCGGGTCTCTCGGAAATCTGTCAATCTACCGCGGATCGTCTCATATCCCCACCAGTACAGGCCCGAGAAGGGCACATCCCTCCACAATGTCAAGGTCAGACCCCTCCACAGGGAAGTATACCCGCTGCTGTGGACCATATCCTTGATGTCGCGGAACGTGTTTGCGAGATGGCCAGTCGTAGAGCTGCCGGCCGACGCTTGCATTCTCGTTCGGAAGAGCTCGATTGGGCTGACGGCAGCTGCGGCCAGAACGCGAGCCGCGGAACCGGCAACCAACGGAGCAGTATCGTCGTTGAGCCTTTGCGCGATTGGGCTCTTCCTGTTGTATCTCATCCAGTCGTAGCCAGTAAAGTAGATAATGTTACCCGGGATCGTCATTAGTAATGTCGGAGACAAGCCCCTCCAGAGACTGGTGAATCCTTCATTCCGCGCAATCTTCCTCAGGCCGTCCATGGTAGAGCTAATTGTCTTTCGCTCAACCTCCTCGACGGAGCATGCAGCAGCAGCTGATGCTCCTGCGCCTTCTGCCGCTCTCGGCATCGCGAGGCAGAGTTCGGAGTTGTTGTTCATGAAGAATACCTCTCGGCAGCATGCGGTGACTCCAAGATTCGATGTGTTGAAAGTCTTGAGTGTGTCGGTCGTCATGGCCAACCGTGAGAAATCTACCATCGGAGGGGTGACGTTTTGCGACTGCCATCGGATTCGGACAACGTCGAGGGGCGTTACTGCGCATGCGTGTCAGCGTATGGGAAGCTCATGTCCCGTTTTGCGCCGTGGCTAACTTACCGAGAAGCGATGTCAAAAGACTGCCCGACATGGCCGAGATCATCTTCTGCGGTGCCGTGATATCATCGTCGCTTCCTCCGCTGCCGTTGGTCTGAGGCGGAGCTATTCGCGCCATCGTGAAAGAGTCATCGGGGTCGAATCTGTCGTGGTCCTGGCCTCGGGTAGCCTGGTGGATGGTAGTCATTGCGGACCAGCTTGCATCGTCGGGGAAGTCGGAGCTTGGGAAAGATGATGCGGTCATCCGGTCGGCAGGAATGTGGTGCAGTAAGGAGCTGGCGGAAGTGGAAAATGACGGGCGGTTCGACGGATGAGGGGGTGAGAAAAGGGTACAAGCTTTCACGAAGTAGAAAAAGAAGCAGGGTGAGAATTAATTAGCCTTAACCCCGTTCGCTAGACGGAAGTCGCCTCGTCATGACTGCGAAATCGGGTGCGCGCTCCGACCTCTGGTCCCTTCCATTTCTTCCCCCCAAAAATTTGCCGGAGATAATGAAATGGGTGGCGCCGGGGCACCTTGCTGGCCGAGCCGAGCCCAAACCGTTTAAGGTGATGTCACGGACCGAGCCACCGTTCCAATTGGTCGGAACTCTGGTGGATCCATCGGTGCGCCACAAAATGTCACCGATAAGCACCAGGCACGGTGGGACCTCAGGTGGCACCTCACACGCCGTCTGACTCCAGTTCGGCGTGCTTGCCGTGTGTCTGCTTACAACACCAATGTCGATGATGAGTGGTCGACTTTAACTACATCTCATACCGCGGCTTTGCTTCTAAAAGATATCCAGAATTTCGAAACCGCAGCACAACGCCATCCTACCCCTAACAATTTGAAGCAATATTCAATGTCACTGTCATAGCACTTGGCCAGCTTCACTCGCTCAGTATTTCTGAGCACCATAGCTATCAACCATGTCAGACCAGCCTCCACAGCTCGACTCCGAGCTGGAGTCTTTCCGGCAAAAATGGCAGACCGAGCTGAAGCACAAAAAGACAGTCCCAGAAGCCCGGGCACCTCAATTGAAAAAGGAGGCATCCTCTTCATCCAAGCAGTCGGCCCCTGCAGAGATTCCAAAGAGCGTAATCGCCAAGAGGTCTCAAATAGAAGAGGATGAGGAATATGCACAGTCTCTCGTTTTCGATGAACCAGCACCGCCGGCTTCCGGTCCGACCCTAGATGGGCAGTCTGGACCTAATGAGGCTAGAGAACTGGTATCTGCCCTGGATCACTTTGAAGAAGCTGTCGAAAAGGAAGCAATCGGCAGCTTAGGGGACAGTCTCAAGTTGTACCGCAAGGCATTCAGGGTGAGCTTCAAAATCGATCTCTTCACTGATTTCATGCTAAAACTTCCACTGTAGATGGATAACAGAGTCGATCTGGCTTACCGGAAGAAACACTTCCCCGCCGGTGCCGCGAAAGCGCCACAGCCCTCAGCATCAGGCCCAACGGCCGCCGCCACAAGCACAGCAAGCAAGCCCGTAGAGACACAGACGATGAGCGAGCTGATTGCCGGCTTCTCAGGTCTCGCCGTATCAGCAGCGCCCCCGCCAGTAGAAGGCGACCCGGCGCCGCCGTGCCCCATCGCCGGCATGCCGGAGGAAATCCTAGTCCACATCTTCAAGGACGTGGCCGTCCTCGACGTCGGCGACTTTGTACGGCTCTCCCTCATCTGCAAGCGCTTTGCCTACGTCGTCGCTACAGAACAACAGATCTGGCGCCGCGTCGCCCTCGGCCCGGAATTCGGCTTCGCCGGCATGCACTACCACTGGCAACGCGGCGTCTCCTGGGAACCGCTCGAGGAAGAGGAAGACAACAGCGGCGACCTCGACTACGTAACCATGGAGGAGCTCGCCCAGCGCCGCATGGAGGAGAGCGAGAACACGACCCTCACCCTCCTCCCGGAACTCTACGACTCGTCCTGGCGGAAAATGTTCCGGCACAGGCCGCGCATCCGCTTCAACGGGTGCTACATCAGCACGGTGAACTACATCCGACCGGGCCAGGCCAACGCCAACCAAATCACCTGGAACAGCCCCGTCCACATTGTCACCTACTACCGCTACCTCCGCTTCTTCCGCGACGGCACCGCCATCAGCCTGCTTACCACCGACGAGCCCGCCCACGTCGTGCACTACATGACAAAGGACCTCCTCGAGCTGCACCGTCGCAGCAACGGCGGCGGCACGGCGCACCTGCCGTCCGTGGTCATGCAGCACGGCCTCCGCGGGCGGTGGCGGCTGTCTTCGGCGCTCGATCACCCGGACACCACGGACATGCCGCTCGGCGAGGTCGAGGGCGATCTGGCCGTCGAGACGGAAGGAGTGGGCGCGAAGTACACGTACAGGATGTACCTAGAGATGCGCAACGCCGGCAAGGGCGGCGCGCGCAACACCAAGCTCGTGTGGAAGGGCTTCTACAGCTACAACAAGTTGACGGACGACCTGGGCGAGTTTGCGTTGAAGAACGATAAGCCATTTTTCTTCAGTAGAGTAAAGAGCTACGGCGTCGGGGAGTAGTACCCTTCAATTTGAATAGAAATAAACTCTGAAGTCTGCAGGCCCTAATTTTGGTCTCTGCCTCCCCACCCTTTTTCTTTCTTTACGACCTCCAAATCTCTTTTTGCTAGAAAACTTGCCCCGTGACGCCTTTCACAAACCCGTACTCCTCGCAACATCCTCCCAACCCTTCAACCCTTCCAACACACCCAAACACTTATCCCGGATCCTCTCCCACCCATCGCTCCCCAAGACAACCCTCAACGGCACTTGCCCCTTGCCGCCCACCATCCCGTCGCCCCTGACCAGCTCTACAATCCTCGCAACAGCCTTCTCCCAGGTCCCCCGGCTCCGTCCCCGGAAGCGCCTCGGCGCCCGCCCTAAGCGCCGCATTCAACTCTGCAAACTCGGGCAGGCGCGCGGGGACGCTGGCGACGTTGGTAAAGACTTTTGTGCGAAAAGTAGCCCGGCTCGACGATGAGGACTCTTAGAGTGGGGGCGAGGATGGATAGTTCTTTGGAGAGTGTCTCGACGGCGCCTTGGAGGTTCCAGACACATGGTGTTAGCTTCCCCTTCAGATATCAAGGTCAAGGAATAGGTCTGCTGTTCTCATATGTGTTAAGGTGTAAGTGAGAGAGGGGGATGTAAAAACAAACCAAACTACCTTCCAATGCAAATTTGCTCGCACTATACGCCCCGGCACCAACATCGACATGTCACGCCGCCTGCGAACTGACATACACCAGCGTCCCCGTCCCCTTTGCCTTCGTAAACGGCAGAAATGCGCGCGTAACGTTTAGCGGACCGTGGAAATTTCGTCTTGACGCTCGCTTCCATCTCCTCTTGCCTTTTGGTTTTGGTTCGTCCACGGTCAGCAAAGTCTTGCAAGTGCTTCCCGAATCCTCTCACCACTATCTCCCGAATCCATATATCAACTTAACCTCAGTGGGCCTCGGGGGAAGTGTGTACCCAGAGCAAAGATAAGAGGAAACATGAGGGAAAAGAGGGTTAACGAAAAGGGAAAAAAAGAAAAAGAAAAAACTCACGTCAACTCCTCCATAAGACCCGAAACAATAAACCCAGCATTATTCACAACAACATCAACACCGCCCTCAAAGCACCCCCACGCCTCAGCCACCTCAACCCGGATCTCCGCCTCTGACGCCGCCCCGACATCAAGCTCCATGTTCCGTAATCGCGACGCCCCCGTTCCCATCGTCGTCGTTTCTCGCAGATGCGCAAGCCTTGCCTCCGCCCCGCCCCGCCCTGTGGCAATCACATTATCCAACCCCTCCGCCATCAACTTCCGCACGAGAGCCCCGCCAAAGCCGCTCGTGCAGCCCGTGATGAAGCACGTCCTGGGCGTTGGCGCTGGCGTCGCCATCGCGGGATAATCTACTTGTAACTCTTTCCCCCTTTTCGCTGTTTGGTAAACGTGCAGAGCTGGAGTTGTGATGAGATTGATTGGCGGGTAAGGTAAACTAGTAATTCCAAGAGATATCAAGACCAGCTTAACAACTCCCCCTTAGTTTGTCAGGCCCTCGTCGTGCGGCTTATGATGTTGATACGACCTCGGAAAGCAAGAAAAAGACATCGGTGTCATTCACCTCTTATCTTGTGCTATCTGAACTTCACCTACTCCGTACTTGGTACATATATTACTTATATGAAGCGGATCCCCCGTCTTGGCTGTACAAAGCCCGGCATCCAGACTTTAACGAAAACGAGCTCTCGAGGTTCTGCGGGCCGCTCGGAACACTATACAGCAAGTCAACGCACTCGGCTCAATCGTAATAGGATAATGGCAACTTGGCATAAGGCGTACAGCTAGGGCGTAGACCGTAGCAAACGCAGGGACGGCACTTGTTCACTACTTTTCGGGGTGATACTTTCAATTAGAGTTGGGTGAGAGTTTTGGGCCCGCTATTTCGTCTTGGATCCTCGTAGAATCGTATATTAATACTGCCCTCTATCGGGCGTAAAAAAATAGGTTCGGCTTGTAAATGCATCGGACAAATGGTAAGTCGCTACATGAATGACTAAAACGCCCCGACGCCTGGCAGGGCACCAATGCTAATTTCCTTCCTTCGCAAGTTTGCGAGTATCTGGTCCAAAATAACGTGAAATAACAGAGATTGTCTTATGCTCACGGGGTTTCCGTGAGCCAAGGATACATGGCGAAACATGTATCAACAGTACTTGTTGACTGTGCATAATTGCAATGATATGATATCATGAAATGGTCGCCCGAGGGTATCAATATCGCCGCGCTTTTTTCTGCCGAATGCTGAGCGCAACTCGCAAAATGGTGAACTCAAAAAGTGACCCATACTCGGCATAATTCCCAGTCTCTCAAAGGACTAGCTTCAAGTGAGCCTGTCCGGAAGTCTCGGCTGATAACAGCCATGTATGACGCGGCCGAGTTATTGTTGACGATAGACACTGTCTCCTTGGCGATAGACGCTGTCTGCAGTCCGTGGCGGTGCCACCCTCTTGCCGTCCAAGAATTTGGGGCTTCTGCCGTCGTAGTACATATTGGGCGTTTGCTGCTGTCTCCGCGCTTCGTATGCTCGTTGTTCTTCTTCGTCGAGCGAGAATGCCTTCTTCAGCCAGCCAAAAGCGCTGCGTTTCTTTTTCAGTCGCTTTTCTCCGCTCGCCGTCATCTGCGAGTCATATGTCATGGTCGTCACGGTGCTCAACATGCTTGCGCCTCCCAGGCGAGAAGGTGCGTTTCTCTGGTGAGTGGGATAGTACCCTGACTGGTGACCGTAGGGAGATCTGGGTTGTGCACCGGCCGTGAGCGGCCTTTGTTGTAATGGAGAATGTGGACTCGCTTGCACAGGGCGGTAATATTGGTGCTCCGACCTTGGAGAAGGTAGCACCGGCGGCTGCTGAACAGGCGGAGAGAGCTCGTTTGCTCCATGATAACGCTGCCGCTGTTCATACTCAGAGCCGTAGGCCGAATCTGGAGCGTGACGCTCGCGAGGAGACTCGCGCGCAGTGTGATGAAGATCTGATGACGGAGGTGGAATTTGGATTGACTCCGGAGGAGTCGTCTTCAAAGAAACCCTTTGGCGAAGCGACTTCTTCTTCGTTGGTAGGGGCGCCTCGCGCTGGGGCTGGTATCTGCTTGATGATTCGGTCGGAGCGGGTGAAGGCATGCGTTCCTCGGGTGGTTGTGGGGTATACGTCCTTGGCTGGAGGATATATAGCGGTCCGTCGTCAAGTGTCACCTCCACCTCCTCCTCGGCGCTAACCGGCTCAGTTATAGGTCCGTCGGGAGTCTCCAGAGTGAGCTTCGGCGCGATAGAATGCGAGCTCTGGTTTGTGCGGGTGGTATGGCTTGTGCGAGCTGTCTCGTGCGAGTGATTGGTGTTATGAGAGTGTGTGGTTTTATGAGACCTGGTGGTGGTTTGTGAGTGGATCGTGTTGTGCGAGTGAGAGGTGTGGAATGACTGCATGGTGTTGTTCGAGTGTGATGTTCTGTGGGTTTTGACCGATCGTTGATCAGGGGAAGCAACTGGCGACGGTATCTGCATTGGGATGTCAAAGTAGGCCAGGTTGGAACTTGACCTCCCCCCAGTAGAGACTGAGCCGCTCACGCTATTCGCGCGCAGCGTAGAGCGCCTCGTGTCTCTGGGAGGTGAAGCTGGTGGTGAGTTTGACGAGACATCGTCGACTCGGGCGCCTTGTAGCGGCAGACTGAACGGCGGAATACTGGCCTGCAGAGCGGTTAGTACCGGGCAGACGGGGAGCGGTTGGTCGGACTTACCCAAGTTCTTCTACTCACTTCACCAGCCTTTTTGCTCATTTCAGCCACCATCTTCCCCAGCTTAACGACCAGGGTATTCAACTCCTTGCCTTGAGCTTGCAACTCCACAAATGCGTTGTACCATCCCTCAGTGTTGCCCTTCATTGCGGCGTAGATGTCTACCACGTCTGGACGATCTTGACGCCAACTGCCCGCGTTTTGTTGAGCCAGATAAACAGCAAACTCTTTTGTTGCGGCGAGACCATGCTGCACGTCCTTATCGTACTGTTCGAGCTGGATGTTGGTGCGAGCTACGATATGCTCAATCTTTTCGTTGCCTTGAACGATCTCTAGCCGAAAATTGCGGTCCTCTAGCAGTTTCTCAAAGACCTCAAGGTTCTCCATGGGCAAGCGAAGGTAGTCGATCCTCTCCTTCAGATCATTGGTCGCCTGCTCAAAATCCTCCATGACCACCTCGAGAAACTCGTCCACCTCATCAATGTGTCCCTGCAGGATGCTGACAACTTGGGCCGCGCTGTTGGCCATGCCGTGAAGCAGCAAGTACACGCCAAATGATATCTGCGCCATGAGCTTTTGGAGCTCATGCTGCTGCTGGCCGGGGCGAAAGCGCCAGAGCATATCGGGTAGGTCATCTTCACGTTCCTGGCTAATGAGCTCCTCGCGACGAATCTTTGCATCAGCAGTTTTGAGTTTCGGTTTCTGGGTAGGATTGCCATCGGCGACTTCGAGGAATGACTCGGCAAATGCGGCCTGCATTGAGGGAATAGGATGGCGAGGGACCTTGGGGCTGCCTAGTGTCGGCGACTCGTTATTTGTTCGACGTGTGTTGCGGGTTGGAATCTGGGGCACGGTAGCCGTGGTCGGTGTTCGCTGAGCATCCTCATCGTCACTCTCATAAATGGGAGAAGGCAGATCGTCTGACGGGGGGAAGAGAACGATTGGAAGATCCAAGCTCAAGTCGAGGTTGTTGTTGGCCCCGAAGGACATGCGCGGGAAGCCGGTTGATGTAGCCATGGCGTACAGAAGATGCTGTGTCTGGAGAGGCTATAGACGAGCGGCAGAGACCATTGGCGTGCGACAACTGCCACAGCCGCTCGACAGTACGGGTCTGGTGGTTCGGTCGGAGTCGTGCGATACGGGAGGTCGAATAGCAGAGTCGGAGATATAACGTACGACGCTGTGCGACACGGGCGCTTTGTGGGAGACCACCACTGTCACTGCTGGTCTCACAAGTGGTGGTGGTGCGTGTTGTACGGATGGATTATTGGGTGTGCTAATGGCTGGCGCTGGTTGGATGAGAATGGCAAAGAGTCGAAATGTTGCAACAAGGAGTCGCGTCGAAGAGGAGAAAAAGGACGTCTTCAGCAGTCGAGGATTGACATGACAGGCAGGACAGCCCCTGGTTGGTGAGAGAGGGGGGGTTGAGAAAGAGAGGAGGGAGTAAGAATAGATCCGGGGTTGTCGCAATGGTGAAGAAGGGCGAGCGGGCGAGCAAGGAGGGATGTCGGAGGCAAGGTAAGGCCAGACAGGGTAAGGTATAGATTATAGTGTGAAGTGGGATAATATTAGGATTACGAGTAAAAGGGTTAGGCTCAGGACAACGAGAAGCGAAAAAGAAGAACCGGGAGGGCCAAGCGATGACGGCGGGATCGGGACCAGGAAGAAGGCTCAAGAGTCAAGGTTCCCGTTGCACGCTCAGTCGTGTATCCGTACAAGAATGACGGGAGGGGCAGAGGAGAGCATTCCAGGGCGGAGATGGATGAGGCGAGGGTTGAGTTTTGGAGTATGAGGAGGACAGGAGGGACTGGACAGTTGAGGCGGGCTGAAGTGTAGGTACGGAGTGATGGCACAGATAGATAGGGAGCTGGATCTCAAATCTGCCTTCTTTGAGCTTGGAAAGAGTGACGGGATGGAGGAAAAGGTTGAGAGGAGGCAAAAGGGTAAAGAAGCTCCGTTGGTAGGGTGGTAAGTAAGGCACCTCACGCTGGCATGGTAAAGAAAGCCTGGTAATGCAGTGAGCAATGAGAGAGTGTGGTGTACGTGAGTGTGTGAGAGGGAGTGACTTGCGCGGCGATGGTCCATGAGATGGGATGGTGTGGGATGGGATGGGATGAGATGGGGTGCCCTGGACCTGAACCTGGACCTGGACAGACAGACACCCACCCTCCACTAAATTGAATTGATTGAGCGAAGGTGGAGGGATGAGTGGCTCGAGTGCCGGCGACTACGCTAACGCAAGGAAAGGCAAGACCAGGCAGGCAGGCAGGCAAGGTGGTGGTGGTGGTCGCCCTGCTCCTTTTTTTCACCACCACCCTACGGATACGCAGTAAGGTAGGTAGGTACCTAGGTAGTTGGTTACCTTACGGACCTTACTTTTGCTCCGTACCCGAGGTACATTCGCCGCTACTTTTTGGTCCAGAAGTGGTGCAAGGTACGCGGCGTGCGGCGTCAGGTGCAGTCTGCAGATGCCAAATGGTGCCAGTGCCGTTTTTGGTTGGGGAAGTGGTGAGCCCAGGGTACATTACCTTAGGTAAGGCAAGTATCTCGAAGTAGCCTCCTGCCTGTGCCTAGGTACGCAGTATGGTTGAAATGTACTTCAAGTCACCGATCATAAGGCTATGTACCTCGCCCAGAAACAAAATGCAGCTTGGGGCGAGTGCGTGCGTGTCTACATGTTGTTTCTGGCATTGGCAGGGCTCCAGGATCGGGGAGTGAAAAAAAAAAAAGAAAGCAAATGCTGCTGCTGTTGGTTGACCACCCACTGACACATTGACCTTGACATCCAGTGACAGTCACTTGACATTGACAAGGACGTGGACGTGGACCTCCAGGCTGTTGAATCGGGCTCAACTGACACCTGCAACCGCCGCTGCCATGGGACTTTGGGGGAAAGATACTTCGACTCAAGTATATTCCTTGCTCCAACGTAAAGTACCTGCTCGTACGCGTAGGCATGGCAATTACCTTATCCAGTCGCATCCATCCTTGTGCACCTCTCTCTCTCTCCCTTTTCCTCTTATTCGAGTCTCGCGCCCACAAGCGGCGGTGCTTCTTCGCCCTTGCAGTTATGACACTCGTCTTGGATTCTTTTGGAATGCCATTTTGCTTCCTTCTCCTTTGATGAAAACTCTTCCATCTCCTAGGTACTCACTAAAAAGTCTACGAGTAATACCCAAGCCCTCGTCCGATTCTTCATCGCCTTTGCTTCCGAGGTTCATTACAAGTAGTCATTCCAGGTAATTAATCGAATCGTTCTATTGTTTGCCCGCCCCTCCTCCTTCTCCTTCTTCTCCTTCTCCTTCTTCTCCTCCTCCTCCTCCTCTCTCTCCGCAGCCATCACATTGCTCATTATTAAGAAAGAGAGAAAAACGAAGGAAAAAAAAGGGACGCCTCAGGTCGGCCCCCCAGCAGAAGGAAGAAAGGACCCAGCAGCACCCGCCCGTCCCTCCTTCCCCCCCTTGAGAGTTGAATCGTTTCCCATGGACCCCTGCCCGCCCTTGCTCTTTTCTGCCTTAGCGCCGCCTTTTTTTCTCGAACCCCTGAGAAAAACGGGGGAAGAACATGGCAAGCTGCAAAAGGGAAAGGGCCCAGAACCACCCGAGGCTCCTCCCCAAAGACAGGGACTGGCTCGCAGGGTCCCCTAGGGAGTACGAACTACCTTACGGATACCTTCCAAAGTACTTCGTACCTACCTACCTTCCACCCCGACCTCACCAAGATTTCACCTTGCTGTGCTTGCTCACCACTTCACCACCTCATACGCGCAAGACTCACCAAGACCTCGCCCTGGACCGAGACCCAGACCCAGTACCACTTTCTCCCCAGAGCTCGCTGCTTGAACTCGAAATCGTCTTTGCGCTGCCCACTTGGGCTCAGGAGACAGAACAGCCCCCAATCACCCCGGACCTTGTCTTCAACCTACGCAGTATCCGTACCTACCTAGCCTTGCTCTCTCCACCCCTCCGTCCTCCAATACTTCCAACTGCCACCCTTCTCTCCCGGCGAAAAGCGGTCTCCGGCTCTCGACCTTTGGCCATCCAAACTCCATCACGGATACCTACTCTGTACGGGTAGTGATGCGCATTTCAACGCTGATAATGATACCAGAAACCTCAGGCGTGCCTCTCCGGCACAAGTTGCTAGCCTTGATGATGAAAAGGGACTCACATTCTCATGGTTCTTCTTCCTTGTACAACGGTTGTATACCTAGAGTATGTCCATCTTACTTGACGCCACTGGACTTACTGACTGGGTTGCCAGACTATAGGAGCCATGACTGACTCTGCCGCTTGGACATTATTCGATGGTGTCCACACATGCATCGATTGACTGTCTGTCTAGTAGGTGCTTTCCTACCGAGCACATGTCTTCACCCACTTCCCTTTCCGCCCCCTACCTTACGTCTGGTCTAGGACCGGGACGCACTCGACACACTGATGCTAATGCTGCAGCCGATGCCGATGGGATGCCCGTCGAAAGCATCTTGTACTTGCTTCTGCAACATAAGAGCCGAATCGTCCCCTTCGGACTGCTGACAAGAAGGGCTGTCCCAGCATTCAACACACCGAAAGAAACAAATCGCCCGCCATCCACCGACGCAGTCATTGCGGCTAGTATATGCACGCCAAGGCAAGCGGGCAGATGTTTCGTCAGCCACCAAACACGGCAGAAAGGACCAGCCAAACTTTTGCTGTCTGCAGCCTGCGGCCTGCGCTGACGGGCACCTCGCACTAAGAAAACATACAGCACACGATGCTTTTCCAAGCTATCAATCAAACCCAACTCACACCTTTCAACCGACAACCAACTGGAGACAAGGTGCCTTGTCCTAGGGCTACGAGACTATCTCCTCGATGCAGGAGCGAGTCTCAATTGGGATCGAAACCCCTGCTCGTGACAGCCAGCCTGGGACATCGTCTTACCACGGTCCTGTACAGCCGCTGACACAACTTCCTTTCACGGCCGGATACGGATGCTTTGGGGAAGTTGGTCGTCGTCACCCGTTATCCAGCCCATTCCAGAAGTCATCCTCCGGCCCGCCAATTAATAAATCGCATTCGCACGATGAAATGGAATCATACTTGTAAGAGGGGGGCACTTGGACACTTTGGGGACACAGCCTGCGAAAGCCGCTCTCTCATTGCCCAAGTGCCGTTGCATGTTCCATTTGACGCGCCATTGAGGGCCCACATTCAATGGTTATGGTACTCGGTAATACTGCAACCTTGCCATGCAAAGGTGCCTCTTGGGTCTCTTGTCAACGACCATAGGGCCTGGGGAAGTTCTGGCGATGCGATTATTTGCTTCGCCTGTCTTTGGCCCAGCCCAGGCCATACCTGCCGGACGAATGCCAAACACAGCTCTGTAAAGATAGTTTACCGTAGTACAGATGACAGCAGCTTTCGTTCGCCGTCAAGGTCGATATGAGGTGTGCCGTCGTCTAGATGTTGCGAATAAGCATGTCCGCGGCGAGGACGACCAAAACCATGGCATCCGCATCCTACGGCTTATCATGGGTTGACATGCGAACACCAATTCGAAATTCGGTGTTTTGTGTTGTCCGTCAGTAGTGGCACGATCCGCAAAACGGTGTGTGCGGCGCCTCTGCCTCAAATACTTACGGTGCGCTCTACCCTCTATCCCTTTCACACCTACGACGGGCATCAGCTCCCGCCCTAGTTTGTCTTTGATCGCACGGCCTACGATGTTTGAAGCGGCGAAGCTAGACCTGAGTCTCAAACCGCCGACCGTGTCGATACTTGACGCCCACCATCTTGTGGTCGTTGCTTGACACGAGGTTGTATCGACGGCTCGCCTCTCCGGCTTCATTTCCATCTGTGGACATAGGCTCACTGGGCCGATCGATCGGCCTCGTCTCCCGACCAAAGAGCCCGCTTACAGCCCTTGACACTTCCTGGGAACCTCTTTATCGATCGAGTGGAATATTTGACCTGGTTTGCAACGGTCAATTGGGGTCCTTGGCTTGATTTTCCCCAGTCATTGACCGCCGTTCAAGATTAGTTGCGACACCCTTGACATGACTGGAACAGGGGAAGGCGACAAGAGACGAGATGAACCGAGGAGCCTCATTAGGTTCGGTCCAAAAGCCCCTGACGCTGGCTGTAGAGCTAGTCTGTGCGAACAACCACTACGTTTCTGATGGAGTGACGACGGAGCTTTGCTGAGCAGAGCAGTTCATGGGGGCTGTCATAGGCCGAAAGCCTCGGCCCAAAGAGGCACGACGTTCAATGTTAATATTGACTATCGATCCTACTCCAGCGCGTCTTGGTCCGGTTATTACAGACACGACCCAACAGCTGATGCCATGCGGCCCGTTGTGGCCTCTCCAACTCCAATAAAAGCCCAAAACGGCCCGCTGACGATTTCTCCTGACCCAATTACACGGGACGGGTCAGATTACCACATCTCGCTCAGTGGCTCATACGACTGCAATTGGTAACGGTTCAAGATGGTTTGGCGAAGTATTGGTTTTCGCCTATCCACCTCGACCTTAGCAATGAGCATACGACAGTGTGGCCATGCTGAGGGCCTACAGGGCAGATGACGGAGAGTTCGATAGATGACGAGCATGACGATGCCATGAGCCACAACCTGGGGGGGGTTCATGTGGGACTATATGAACAAGTCTCTTTCCGTATTACCATCGCCAAGGGGTCGTTCACGTCACGATGGCCATTGTGGCTCCTGTGGGATTGAGCCATCGATCTTCTCTCCAGTCTCTACCCCCTCGCGGTTAAATTTCGCCATGGACAAATATTGGCTTCGCAGTGGCTCCCTCAAGGGTCGGAAAGTGGCGGCCGTATTTGCATCGCGCTTCTCCTTCGCAACGCAAGCGCGGAAATGACGGACATTCACGATTCAGCCCATCTTGCACGACAAGCGCGGCTGCAAGGCATGTCCTGGTTTCGATCCCGTCATACTTCCGTTCATGTGGTGCCCCTTCACCCCTTGTGCCACCTTCGGCCCTGGGAGTCTGGGACACTTGTCGATCGACGGCCGGTTCATCTGGAGATCGATCTACAATCTGCTTACCAAAGTCGAGAAGCATCTGCTTCGTCTCTGCATGAGCCTCACCCCGCAGCATGCACCTTGTACCAGGGGAATGGCAACGGCAACGGCGTGATGAACTACGGGTACGCGGTGGCCGCAAATCAAGAAAGCTGTCGCGCCAGCCGAGCCATGATGGGCGATGGGCTCTCTCAGCTGATTATTCGAGGATTCCCGTGCACTGACTTAGCGGGAGGAGGAGCTTGTGCCCAAACATCCTTACTATCGAAGACTCCTGTTATCATCACATTTGGCTGACAATGAAGAGCCACGTAGAGGACCATCGCATTGGATCAGCTTACTTGGCGTCAGCCACGAAACATAGCCCAAATCACACGGGCGCATTCTTATGGCGTGTATTCAGCAAATTCGGCTCAGCCATTCTCGTCTGACAGTCTTACTCGCTGCAATCGAACCGCTGGTCTGCGAAGGGAGACGCTTGTGAGAAGACGAGAACACGTCGCGGGCGAAATCTTCTTCTCTGAGGCTCTCGGCCGAACTCGAGAAATCCAAGAAAACCCTTGGTTCCCCCCCCCCCCCCCCCCCTCCCCCCTTATCCTCCCGATGATATCGTACATGAACACCCCACATCATCTCCGGCTAACTGCAGCAACGGCCAAGACCCTCTTTGGTGACCAGGTTCCTAGGCCACAAAAAGCGGATAGAAGAACCAAAAAAAGAGGTGGCGGCATCGGCCTTGCCTATCGTGGAGCCATCGATACCTGTGTACAGACCTTGGTAGACCTTTATGGTCGCATTCCGCGGCCCAGCTTACACATTGGGCCTCGCGACGTTGCTTACGACTACCTGGCAGTCGAATCAGTTCCTCCTTCTTTGGGGTGAGGTCGCAGTCTGGCATCGACAGGAAGAACAACAATAACAGAAAATACGGCAGATAATCTAGCCGTTCACAACCGCGGACATCATCAACAATTATTATCCCGTATTCCGTATCTGTACTCTCCCGCATCAACATTCGGCACGCGACATCCCGTGAGACTCGGCGCGCTCTGCCACACAGGGCCAGGTTCCCCCAGCAGAAAAAAGTAATTGCGATTTCTCAGCCAGCGGAGACCATCCCTGCGCAGCCAACGACCCGCGCCGAAAGCCAAGGCCCAGGTTCAAAATCCTCTTGGGTCCTCGAGGAACTGCCCCCGTTCTTCTAGATCAACTCCAAAACTTCATCATCGTGGAGGAAAATTGAGAGGGTAAAGGGCTTCACCACTTCCCCTTTTCTTCCCCCCCTCAATCCTAGCCGGCATCAATCACCCCCCGGCAGATCACGATGTTCGCTGCATTCCGCTTCGGGAGGGATCTTTGGGATCCTTCTCACCGCTTCGAGACCTCATGGCTCCTTTCTCCCTACCTGTTGGCCGCGTGTCGAGCGCTGATTGTGAGTCTTGGCTCCCTTCCTTTACTCTCCTCTGTCGCGCTTAAGGACCCTTTGTGCATTGGGGTGTCGGCAATGTCGTCACCATCCTCTCAACGCGCGATTGCCCATCAATCCACTACCAAATAGTGAATTGCTAATGGCAACTAACACGCTTGTCTCTCGCAGAGTCTGTACATCTTCGTCGTCCGCTTCTTCGTCATCGGTTGGACCTGTACTCACGCCGAAGATGGCGGGTGCAAGATTGTCGGCCAGAGCTTTTCCTACTTCGTAAGCAAACCTCGGAAATCATTTCGTGTAACCAATAGAGTGAACGGCGCAACGACTGACTTCACTTGCCCCCCCCCCTCCGTAGACTGTCCTGACGTACTGGGGACTCGCATTTTACTTCCTCATCTCAGCCATCCACACCTTCACCTACGCGCACTCTGGAACCCCGCTGCTCGACCGCTTCCCGCGACCCCTCCAGGCCCTGCACGCCTTCTACTACAGCACCATCGTCACCTACCCCTTCATCGTGACAATCGTCTACTGGGCCATCATCTACTCGGCCCCCTGGTACGCCGAACAATTCGAGGCCTTTAGCAACATCTCCCAGCACGGCCTCAACTCGGCCTTTGCCCTCTTTGAGATTATCATCCCGCGCACCAGCGCCGCCCAGCTCGAGTGGGTGCATATGCTCTGGCTCATCATCGTCCTCGCGCTGTATCTCGCCCTCGCCTACGTCACGTACTACACCCAGGGCTTCTACACCTACGACTTTCTCGACATCGACAAGAACGGCAGCGGCAAGGTGGCTGCGTACATTATCGGTATCGCGGTGGCTGGTATCGTCTTTTATCTCGTCGCAAAGGGCCTCATTTGGCTGAGGGAGTGGGTCACGGAGAAGAAGCTGGGTATGGATGGCAAGTTTGCCCAGCAGCGCTTCCGCAACTACGATACGGAGCTGGGAACCATTACCTCTAAGCACTGAGGGCAAAAAGAAAGTTCGGTGAAGAGTGAGCGAAAAAAAAGCAGGAGGGGGAAAGAACCTAAGCGCCACGCCCATGTTTTAATCGACAGAATACGCAAGCATGTAGACGGACATGTATGTATATATGCACAAAGAAGGAGAGGAAGAGGAGAAGGAGTCTGGACATGGATTTCGGAGAAGGCACTGCATTGGACGTTTCCGCATTGTTATTATACCCCGGAGGAACCTCGACTAATTCTCATTCCCCCCTTTTGTCACAAGTAGCATCACAATGGCCAAGAGGCGC